GAGAATCAAACTTTCTGGTCTTGTCATTTTCATCCAGTGGCCATTAAATGGATTCAGACTCATGGTGACCTCACGTGCATCAGAGTACAGCTGTGCTGCGTAGGGTTTTCAGTGACTCTGATTGTCAGGCAAGAAAGGTCCCTCTGGGTGGACTCAAACCTCCAGTCTTTTGGTTAGCAGAGCATATTAACCATTTGTGCCAACCAGGGACTCCTCATGTAATTTTACTGTATTACGAATATTATGAAAGAATTGTGTATCAAGTTAAAGTTTAAGGAACACTAGGTTTAGATTTCCATGACTTGTTGACATTCTGACTTTTATTGTAGGGTGTTTTTACTTTGTTTTTAATTATTAAGCTCAATTGCTATCCATTCATTAGTATCTACTGTAGTTTCTGATTAACAGCTATTACCATCAGGAGACTAAAATATCAGTAATGATTTCAGACTTGAAGGTGTTGAAAACTAAAAAATTTAGGATAAAATTTTTAAATTTTGTTAAGTAAGAAAAGGGTATTTTTTTTTAAAGAAAGTATTAATGGGCTTTTTGTCCTTAATAAAAAGGTACCATTATTATAATTTTATATTTGTTTAGAGAGTATTGTTATCCCAGCTAGATCATTAAATCCTTGAAGGTAAGAACCATGTTAATGCTGATTATACATCTCATACAGTAGAAGAAATATGTATATTATATGAAATTTGTGATTAATAACTTCAGTCCCTTTAATTTAGTTGCGATAACTTGTAATTTTCTGTTATACATTCTTAAAAGTGCTTTGGGGAAAAAATTAAATAGTATACTATTTTGTTATCTTAATGTGACATACATTGACAAGGAAAAAATCTTTTAGCCCTCCCCACAATGGTAATATTATGAGAAATATTATGTCTTTTATAGTTATACATTTAATTAATAAAATTTTAATTTATATTTCAATTTTAAAATGTGGTAACAGCAGTGTTCTTATTGTCCCACTCCTTTTTTTGTTCATTTAAGATAGGATTTAGGTTACCCTTAATTTGGTGAACAAAACCAAACCCATTGCCATCGAGTCAATTCTGACTCACAGTGACCCTATAGGGCAGAGTAGAACTGCCCCATAGGGTTTCCAAGGAGCTGCTGGTGGATTCAAACTGCTGACCTTTTGGTTGGCAGCTGATCTCTTAATCACTGCACCACCAGGGAATAGTTAACTGAATATTAGGTGGGAAGCAGAGATGGGCTGGTGGAGACAGCTGTTTAGAGTGCTGTGAACAAAGATACAGGAGTAAAGGAGCCCTGAATATGATTGGATAGTGGTGATAGAAATATAAAATACGAATTTCTAGAAGTCAGCAAGTGTATTAAATAATACACTATTTAATTTTTCTCCTAAGACATTTTTAAGAATATGTAACAGAAAATTATGAGTTATCTCAACTATATCTACTGGAAGTGAGTAACTTGAACAGATGTGAGATTGAATCCCAACTTTGACACCGTAGGCAAAATTTTTAATCACTCTGAGTCTCAACTTCATCACTAAAATTATACTTAACTGTATTACAGGATTCTTTTGAGAGTTTGATATGAACTACACACTTTAGTATATGTCATTTTTTAATATATACCAAACCCTGACACTGTTAAGAATACAGAAGTTTAAAAAAGATCTCATAATTGATCATATTGAAGAAAGAGAACATTAAAAATAAAATGGGACATATAGTGTACTGAAATGTGAAGCACAGATGTAGGTAGAGTGAAAAAACTTTTTACTGTTAGGAAATGCAAGTAAGCATCAGGTAGAGTTTATTACTGGTATTTAAATACATTGCTCATGTGGGCCTTCCTACAAAACGGCTATTTTCTAAACAAATTTTCTATTATCAGACTCTTTGTCTCACTTATTAAGGGTACCTCATATGGTTTTTTGTTTTCCCTTCTAAACTAAAATAGTAAAAAACTTAATTATATTTGTAGAATCTTACTTTATAAAGTCAGTTTACATGTATTCTTTGTTTCTTCCTTAACTTACACAAATGATTTGTTGCAAATATCCATATTTGCTCTGTTAAACTTTTATACTCTTTTATTTGTCCTCTGTGACTAAATGTATTTAATGAGAGACTCTTGAAACGTAATGTCATCAGAATCTCAAAGATAATGCTGAATAATTAAACAAGCTTTCTGACACAAAGATTGAAACATTTCATTCCCAAATTATTAACTTTCTAATTGCTGGTGCTCTGAAATACTTATTTCAGAGGGAGAAACTTGCCCAGAAACCTAACTTGTGTCGAGTAAATTCAGTGACTATTTCTTTAATCACTATTATATTTATAAACTTAAGTGATCATTTCTAGCCGTTACCTTTAATTCCATTGTGTTTCTTAAAACAGTACCATGTACAAAGATTGACCTAATAAATACTGTTTTTTTATATTGATCTGTTGATTTTTGTATTATTAATCTGTTCTTAGTTATTATATATAAGTTAAGATTTCTACAGAGAAATTGGAGCCCTGGTGGTGCAGTGGTTAAGAGCTCAGCTGCTAACCAAAAGGTCAGCAGTTCAAATCCACCAACTGCTTCCTTGGAAACCCTATGGGTTAGTTCCACTCTGTTCTATAGGGTCACTAACAAGTTGAAATTGACTCGATGGCAGTGGGTACAGAGAAATTAATATTTAATATGCATACAGGTAGTTTAAATGATCCTATAGAAATAATGCAACTGGAAGATAAATCGTCATCCTTAAAACTTTGACATAGTTGATTCCTTGTCATTCTGTCTCAGTTCAGTTGTTATCTGCTCAGAGAGGCTATTTCTTTGACCACCCCCATCTCACATTTCAAACTCCTGCTTCCCATTCCAAGCCCAGGTTGCCCATCCCTCCCCCTTGATCCTTCTTGATTCTCCTACCCCGCTGCTCCTACAGAATGAATTCTTCCTCTACACTTGCATTCATATTCACTCAGTCACTCATTCACTCACACAGGATTCAGTAGGGCCACCTATGTTGGTCCTAACCTCCACCATCTTTATATCTGTGTGTATCCTTATGAAATTATCCTGTTTATTTGTGTGTTTATTGTCTATCTTCCCCATTAAAATGTAAACTACCTAAGAGCAAGAACTTTGTTTTGTTGCATGCTGAAACCCATGTGCTTAGAATAGTGCCTAGTACATATGTAGGCGCTTAATGTTTTTGAAGGAATGAATGCAGTGAACAAATAAATGGATATACTTATTAAGAGAAAATTTATGCATGTGGTCCAATCTTTAAAGTGCCAGATGAAGGATTTTTCTCTACTGGTAGGGCTTCCTTCATAGATGATGTTCACCTGGGTCTGTTCCCCTTTTTTCCCTCCTTCTCGTTCTTTATCTGGGAGATTTTTTATTTTAACCATTGGAGGTAGACTTAAAACATTTACGTTTCTAATCTACACCTCTGTAGGAGGTCTGTCACTTAAGACTCATCTGGAATCTGCAGAGAAGACCAAGTCTCCCTCTTAAGAATGAGGCTTGCATACTTATCCAGCTGGCCTTGGGATCAAGGTCTGTTTTTTCCCAGCTTCATTCCAGTCCTTAATTACATTATACTACAAGTTTATGAGATTAGGCAATAGGTTTGGGACTGCTGTTCTCAGTTCCACCCGTTGGATCAGAAATTAGCTCCAGGCCAGTATCAAAAAGACCTAAGGCTTCATGAAAGCTGCTTAAGCTATTTCTAGCCCCTGAACAGGATATTCAGTGGGGGTTTTAACCATAACTGTAAAAATAAAATTCTGGTGAACTTTCAGCTAAAAGTGCTAACTGGTGTTAGACCAAGAAAAAAGATGCTGAAAGAAACAGATAATAAAACTCAGAAAAAATAAGAGCAACAGAAAAGATTTAAGAAATGGTGGGGAGGGGCTGAATATTATATTTTGTTGCTAGAAATGAGTCATGACTCATGATCATAGAATTAGTTCTAGCAATATGCCTGTGTGAAGGTGGCAGAAAGCAGCATATGCAAGAGGAAAATTATTCGTGAAGAACAGCGAGTCATTACCTTTAATATTTTAATTAAAAATAGAAGTCTCTATAAAATCTAGACAGAAATCTTTTATCTCTTTTTTATCATACAGAAAATGTTGCCTTTCCTCAAACACCAGCATGCTCAGGATAATAAAAATTGATATGTTGAACATATTTAATATATTTGATGATCTCTAAGAAATGCCTTCACAGTATGAATAGGATATGTTCCAAAAGTTTGTTTATAAATCAATTTCTGGAACATACCGTAAACAAACAACTTAAATGATAGTTTCCCAGAACATCCCATAAAAGCATTATCTAACTAGGTGTGATTAAAGTGACAATCATACATGAGACACGTTAAACATAAGCAGCCCTTTTTAATCGAAAATTATAATTACCAGGCACTGAAAAGTGCTTTATATATACGTATATATACTTATATATATATATATGTATATATATGTATATATATACACGCACATATGATCATATTTAATCCTTAAAACACTGTAAGGTATGCTGTTTGTCTCTTTTACGATAGAGGATCCTTCAGCAAGCTTTTGAATATTTCTTAAGCTTACGCAGGTTCACACAGCAGTGCAGTCAGGATTTGAATTCAGCTTCAGCTGACTCAAAGCTGTTACTCTTTACCACTATGGTCTTCTGCATTGTATGTACAAAACATTTGTATACTTAGGCAGTATGCTAAATTTTCTGCAGAATTCATACCATACATTTTAGCAGAAGAACTAAGGATGTGTGGTAACTATAAAATAAGGTCATCATAAATGCTGTAAAAGTGGTATGGATACTTTACCACAAGGGCAAAAGCATACTATTCACAAGTTATGTCTTACAAACAAATTTGAGGCACAATTATTTGTAAGTTTGGGGCTGTTTGGATTTGTTTGCTTTTTAATTGTTGATAGAGCTTCCTAAAATATATTTGAGGTATATGTATTTTTTTTTTTTTTTTTAAACAACAGTTCACAGAAGAAAAGCTTGGCCAGGCAGAGAAGACAGAATTGGATGCTCACTTAGAGAACCTCCTTAGCAAAGCTGAATGTACCAAAATATGGACAGAAAAAATAATGAAACAAACTGAAGTGTTGTTGCAGCCAAATCCAAGTAAGAAACCCTTTACCTCTTGTCTATCTTATTAAGCTTAGGAAGTACTTTCAGTGGGTTTTTTTGTTTGTTTGTTTAAAAAAAAATTGCAACGATAAAGAATAGTGAGTCTGGGCAACATAATATGGTTGAATCTGGAGGACAATATGCTAAGTGGAATAAGTCAATCAGAAAAGGACAAATATTGTATGGTCTCACTATTATAAAAAGTCAAGAATAGGTATGCACACAGAAAGCACCATTCTTTGATGGTTACCAGGGGTGGGGTGGGGGGGAGTAGAAATCACTTTCTAGACAATAGACGCTTGATATTTTTGATGATAGGAAAGGCAATACCAAATATGGGTAAAGTTTGCACAACTTGAGGAAGGTAAATGAAGATACTAAGAAGTACACAAAAAGAACAGTTTTAGTGAATGCTATAACATACAATTTTATGACAACTGTGATTAACAGCCAAAAAATAGCTGTGTGGTTCCGTAAGTAGATACGGATGCATATGTATGTGTAGGAAGGCATATGTGAGTACATGCACGTGTGTGTATAGGTATATCTGTAGGCATATGTATATACGTGTTTTCGTGTGCTGCGTGTATATTCCTGTATATAACAAAGCACATAGGGAGCACAGTTACGGAGACTTACTACACATATTCAGAAACCTCGCGGGATTGGTTTACTGGTTTAAAATGCTTAGGACCGCAGTCTCACGGGACAACTCAGTCAGTTGGCATAACATAGTTCATAAAAATAATGTTGTACATCCTAGTTTGATGAGTAGCGTCTGGGGTTTTAAAACCTTGCAAGCAGCCATCTAAGATATAACTGTCGGTCTCTACTCGTCTGGATCAAAAGAGAGTGAAGAAGAAACTAGTCCACAGAAGGACAAATAGCCCACACAAACCACGGCCTCTTCTAGCCTGAGACCAGAAGAGCTAGATGGTGCCCAGCTACAACTACCAACCATTCTGACAAGGGACACAATAAAAGGTCCTAGATAGAATGGGAGAAAAATGTAGAACAAAATTTAAATTCCTAAAAATGGCCAGGCTTATTGGACCAATAGAGACTAGAGGAATCCTTGATTCCTAAGATACCCTTTGAATTTGTAACTGAAGCTACTCCTGGAGGTCACCTTTCCACCAAATAATAGATTGGCTTATAAAATAAACAATATCACCCATGAGTAATGTGCTCCCTTCAACAATTATATGAGACCAAATGGTCAGCATTTACCTAAAAGCAAAGACAAAAAGGCAGGGAGGGAAAGGGAAGCTAAATCAGTGGAAACAGAACAAACACAATGGAAATAATGACAATGCTGACACTGTGAAAATTATAACCAATGTCACAGAACAATTTGTATTAAAAATTGTGAAATGAGAACCTAATTTGCCATGTAAGTTTTCACCTAAAACACAATAAAAATTTTTTTTTAAAAGCTTTAATGACTAATGAAAATTTTTTTGTTTGTGGCTTTGGGTGCTATAGTTAATTTTTGTATGCTTTGGTGAAGAAGAGTGATGAACTCCTTTGCACGCCCTCAAACAAATTTACAAATAACATATTTTCAGGCCTTTGTAAATTCTCTTGAAAGCCCAATTTCAGGCATTGACTTCTTTGAATTTTAAGACTCACGAGGGAATGTGAAAACAAAGTAATCATCCTTTTTTATCCAGGAGAGAATCATCCCTAATTAATTATGGGAAAATTATATGAAGACTTAAATGGTTACCAATGATTTATGTTTACGTTGTTTTACATTTTCACATAAATTGTTTCCTTTGATTTTCAGACGACTGAGGTTTTTCATATCATCTAACTCAATAATACTGCAAATAAGATGCATAATTGTTTATTAGATGAAACTTAGCATCTTGTTCAGTGTAGCATAGCTAATTAGAAGTAGAGCTTGGACTAGAACAGGGTTAGACACCCTGTCTTTTCACTATGAACTTTATGTGTCAAAGCAGACAAAAGGCAGTAGTGCATGCCTTCCTTCCCCTTTCCTCTAGTTTAATTATGACCATGTTGTGAGATGCTGTAAACTTGCTTTTAGGTACGGACTTTTAAAGTTCCAAGCTGTCATCGATTGAATTGTGTCCCCCAAAAACATAGTGTCAATTTGGCTAGACCATGATTCCCAGTATTGTGTGATTGTCCATCATTTTGTCTTCTGATGTGACTTTCCTATGTGTTGTAAATCCTCCCTTTATGATGTTAATGAGGTGGGATAGGCAGCAGTTACGTTAATGAAGCAAGACTCAATCTACAAGATTGGATTGTGTCTTGAGCCAATCTCTTTTGAGATATAAAAGAGAGAAGCAAGCAGAGAGACCGGAGGACCTCATACCACCAAGAAAGCAGTGCTGGGAGCAAAGCGGATCCTTTGGACCCGGGGTTCCTGAGTGGAGAAGCTCCTAGTCCAGGGGAAGATTGACAGAGGCCTTCCTCCAGAGCTGACGCCCTGAATTTGGACTTCTAGCCTACTAGGCTGTGAGAGAGTAAACTTCTGTTTGTTAAAGCCATCTGCTTGTGGCATCTCTGTTACACAGCACTAGGTAACTAAGACGGAATTTGGTACTGAGAGAGTGGGGTGCTACTCTAACAGATACCTAAAATGTGGACACAGTTTTGAAACCGTAAATGGATAGAGGATTCAGAAGGAAGGGAGGAGAACTGTTAACACCGGAGACAGTGCACATAGTGAGAACCGGCAGCAGCAGAACCAGGAGACCAGCGCCAGACAGTGCTGGAGCCGACCCACGAAGCGAGAGAGCTGAGTGCCCTTGCACAGAGGCTTCCTGGTGGGAGAAGGATGCCTCCGGGCACTTAGCAGTAGAGCTAGGCTTGCCCACCCACAGAGCAAGAGAGCTGAGTGCCTTTTGGCAAAAGTTTACATGTGGAGTAGGGTGCCTCCAGGCACTTAGCGGTGGAGCTACAGAGCTTTGGAACACTTGCCCCAGCAGGACAGATGCAGGCGTGAGGCCCAAGAGGCCAAGGAACCAGGAAGCAGAAGCTGAAGAGACAAGGAACACAAGAAGCCGAGATGCCTCAGTCTCAAAAGGTATGGCCATGACCTCTGGGGTTTCAAAGGGTGGAGCCATGGCCTTTGGGTAATTAAGACACAAGCCTTAAACTTCAAGCTCTAAAATACTGATAATTTTGTGCCATTTTAGTTAAATTGTGTTGTTGTTAGCTTCAGTTAAGCCAACCTCCAGCTCTTGTGACCCCATGCACAAGGGAACAGAACACTGCCCTGTCCTGTGCCATCCTCATAACTGATTGTGGATCACCACATTGTGATCCATAGGTTTTTCACTACATGATTTTCGGAAGCAGATTGCCAAGATACTCTTCCTAGTCTATCATAGTCTGGAAGTTAAATTGTAATAACTTTTTGGGGGGGCATTAGGTGAAAGCTTAAATAGCAAATTAGTTTCCCATTTGATAGTTTGTATACAAAATGTTCCATGACACTGGTTTCATTCCTGACAATGTGCCTGCCCTCCCCCCATTTCAGCATGCGTTCCCCATTTCGTTTCGTCCTGAATTTCTACCCCTTCCTGCTTTCTCATCTTTGCTTTTGGGCAAATGTTGCCCTTTTGATCTCGTATAATAAATTGTTCTAAGGAATACGTTCCTCTCAAGTGTTATTGTTTATTTTACAGGCCTATCTGTGGTTTGGCTGATGGGTGGTCTCTGGTAATGGCTTTGGTTCCAGCTTAGAAGGGTGTCGTAGGGCCATAGTCTTGGGGGTTCCTCCAGTCTATATCAGACCAGTAAGTCTGGTCTTTCTTGTGAATTGGGTTTTTGTTCTGCAACGTTTTTTCTACTTTGTCCGGGACCCTCTGTTGTAATCCGAGTCAGAGCAGTCCGTAGTAGTAGCTGGGTGCAATCTAGTTTTTCTGGTCTCGGGATGTGTAGGCTGTGGTTCATGTAGTCCATTAGTCCTTGGAACTAATTGTTCCTTTGGGTCTTTGGTTTTCTTAGTTCTCTTTTGCTCCAGATGGTAAGAGACAGATAATTGTCTCTTAGATGGCCAGTCACAAGATTTTAAGACCCCAGATGCTACTCACCAAAATAGGATGCAGAACTTTGTCTTTGTGAACTATGTTGTGCCAATTGACGTAGATGTCCCCCAAGTCTATGGTCCTTCACCGTCAAGCCTAGGAACTTTGTTTCACAAGGTGTTTGATTATGTCTATAAAGTTGCCCTGACTGTGGCTCTTGCGTGCTCTATTGTCTATATTGTTGTATAAGCATGGAAGCCCTGGTGGCGTAGTGATTAAGAGCTATGGCTGCTAACCAAAAGGTCGGCAGTTTGAATCCACGAGGTGCTCCTTGGAAACCCTGCGGGGCAGTTCTACTCTGTCCTGTAGGGTTGCTATGAGTCGGAATCGACCCAACAGTGATGGGTAACAGGTATGTAGAAGTATCCACTTCAGTGACTTTTTAAAATAGGTGTTTTGCACCTTAAGTGAGGCCCATTGTCTTTGGATAACTTTTTTTTTGATATTTCTTAACCTATTTAAGGCCACTTAAATTATATGCTGTGGCACTTAAAAAAAGAAGTAGACATTGTTCCTTGCCCTATCCAGAGTCCTTGCGTACATATAATCTGTTCTCTGTGTTTTTCTTAATGGCTAGTAAGCTCATACACGATTGGTAAATGGAGAAATGATGTTGGTACAAAGAAGTTACAAGGGCTCATATGTGATTTTTTCCCCCAGAACGTTAATGTTTTATGTCACCAGGTAGTGATAGGATTGTTACTGTTTTTTGTTAATGCTCTGGTTATGAAGTTACATAAATTTTGAGTAGTCAGACCTAACCCTCAACTCTCTTTTGTCCATAAGCCTTGTTGTTTTTAGTGTATGATTTTCCACAGCTTAGGGTTTTTCAGGTTATATTGCATTATAGCAGAATTGCCTACATAGTTCGTTAAGATTTTATTAGACCTACTGAATGACCTATTGAAGTGAAACATTTATTTATTAATATGCCAAATTATGTTATTAATATTACTTATTAATGTGCCAAGTTATATTTACACTATACTGTAGTCTGTTAAGTGTGCAGTAGCATTATGTCTAAAAAAACAACATACATACCTTAATTAAAAAATACTTTATTGCTAAAAAAAAGTGCTAACCATCATCTGAGCCTTCAGCAAGTCTTAATCTTTTTGCTGGTGGAGGGTCTTGCCTCAGTGTTGATGGCTGCTGACTGATCAGGTAGTGGTTGCTGAAGGTTGGGGTACCTGTGGCAATTTCTTAAAATAAGGTAGCAGTGAAGTTTGCCAAATCAATCTACTCTTCATTTCATGAAAGATTTCTGTGTAACATGTGAGGCTGTTTGAAAACACAGTAGAACTTCTTTTAAAATTGGAGTCAGTCTTCTCAAACCCTGCTGCTGCTTTTATGAACTAAGTTTAGGTAATATTCTAAATCCTTTGTTGTTGTTTCAACAATGTTCAGAGCATCTTTACCAGGAGTAGATTCCATCTCAAGAAACCACTTTCTTTGCTTATCCATAGAAAGCAATTTCTTATCCATTGAAGTTTTATCATGAGATTGTAGCAATTCAGTCACATCTTCAGTCACCACTTCTAATGCTAGTTCTCTTGCTGTTTCCACCACATCTGTGGTTACTTCCTCCACTGAACTCTTAAGCCCCTCAAAGTCATCCATGAAAGTTGTAACTCTTCCACACTCCTGTTAATGTTGATATTTTGACCTCCCATGAATCACGAATGTTCTTAATGGCATCTGGAATGGTGAGTCCTTTCCAGAAGGTTTTCAATTTTTTGCCCAAATCCATCAGAGGAATCACTATCTATGCCAGCTATAGCCTTACAAAATGTAATTCTTAAATAATAAGACTTGAAAGTAGAAATTACTCCTTGATCCATTTGCAACAGAATGGATGGTGTGGTAGCAGGCCTGAAAACAACATTAATCTCCTTATATATCTCCATCAGAGCTATTGGGTGACCAGATGCATTGTCAGTGAGCAGTAATATTTTGAAAGTAATCTTTTTTTTCTGAGCAGTAGGTCTCAATAGTGTACTTAAAATATTCAGTAAACCATGTTGTAAACAGATGTTCTGTCATCCAAGCTTTGTTGTTCCATTTATAGAACACAGACAGAGTATATTTAGCATAATTCTTAAGGGCACTAGGATTTTCAAAATGGTAAATGAGCATTGGCTTCAACTTAAAGTCACAAGCTACATTAGCCCCTAACAAGAGACTTAGCCTGTCCTTTGAAGCTTTGAAGCCAAGCATTGACTTCTCCTCTCTAGCTGTGAAAGTCCTAGATGGCATCTTCTTCCAATGTAAGGCTATTTCGTCTACATTGAAGGTCTGTTGTTTACTGTAGCCACCTTCATCAATTATCTTAGCTAGATCTTCCGGATAACTTGCTGCAGCTTCTACATCAACACTTGTTGCTTCACCCTGCGCTTTTATGTTATGGAGACAGCTTCTTTTCTTAAACCTCATGAACCAACCTCTGCTAGCTTCAGGCTTTCCTTCTGAAGCTTCCTCACCTCTCTCAGCCTTCAAAGAATTGAAGAGAGTTAGGGCCTTGCTCTAGATTAGGTTTTTGACTTAAGGGAGTGTTGTGGCTGGCTTGATCTTCTATCCAGACCACTAAAACTTTCTCCATATCAGCAATAAAGCTGTTTCGCTTTCTTATCATTTGTGTGTTCACTGGCATAGCACTGTTAAGTAACTTCAAGAACTTTTCCTTTGTATTCACAACTTGGCTCTTTGGCACAAGAGGACTAGCTTTTGGCCTGTCTTGGCTTTCGACACGCCTTCATCACTAAGCTTAATCATTCTAGCTTTTGATTAAAGTGAGAGACATGCGACTCTTCATTTCACTTGAACACTTACTTAGGGGCCGTTGTAGGGTTATTAATTGGCCTAATTTCAATATTGTTGTGTCTCGGGGAATAGGAGGCCTGAGGGGAGAGAGAGAGACAGGGAATGGACAGTTGGTGAAGCAGTCAGAACACGCACAACATTTATCAATTAAGTTTGTCATCTTATATGGGCCCCAAAACAGTTACAGTAGCAACATCAAAGGTCACTGATCACAGATCACCATAACAGGTATAATTACAATGAAAAAGTTTGAAATATTGCGAGAATTACCAAAATGTGACATAGAGACATGAAGTGAGCATGTGCTGTTGGAAAAATGATGCCGATAGACTTGCTCAGCGCAGGGTTGCCACGAACCTTCAATTTGTAAAAAAACGCAGTATCTGCGAAGTACAATAAAGTGAAGTACAAAAGAAGGTACAGCAAAGCTAAAAATCACTCTGACAGTCAGAAAATGAAATTCTGAAATTTAGTTGGCATCTTCTAAGTGATTGTTTTGAAAGGACTCTTTTTTGTCTCAACTAATTTAAAAGTTTCTAAATGCCTGCCTAGAAACTCTTCTGATGCTGTACAAGTCTACCACAAAAATGAGTATTATTCCAGCCGCTTATAGTATATAGCTAACCCTTTTGCCAACCCCTGAAATGTTTATGTTACTGGTTTAGCTCATTCTTGAAATTTTCAGTGCACAGTGTGAAACTTACACCATTGTGAGAATCTGTGTGAGGTGTTTAGAATGAGCCTATTTGACTTAGCTTCTTTTTGAATCGTAACTTTAATTTATAATTAATCATTTTTTCTGGAAATTACTCTTTTTTTCTCCCTTCCTATTTATCCCTGAGATACCTCAAAGTTAGGCAGCAGTGTAAATGTGAATTCCTTTGGTCGTAAACATTGTACTAAACCAAATATTTTTTCAGATTTTACTGGGTTTTTACCATTTATACTAATACTTTGTTATTGCTTTTCACCTTATGTCTAGTACTTTAAACCTTTTAATGCTGAAATATTTTGAACAAATTCATTCTCAGAGATATTGTCTGTATACTTTAAGTGTATTTAAGCTAAAGCTGAGGCACTGTATTGTTGATCTCTGCCTGTAGACTATCCCAACCCTGTATTGATCTAGTCCTCAAGCTTCTTTGTCTGTTTAGACTCTAGGCTCTAGAGAGAGAGCTAAAGATGTCAGAAGTATGTGGCTCTTTGGTTCTTCTAGGTATTTTATGCCCATATTTTCCTATCTGAAAATCCCTGATTTTGAAATTATGAACATATATCCAAAGTTATAAGTTAATATTTAGATGCTATATGAATGGGGCAAAAGCAGCTTTACTAAATATTAAGTGAATTACTACCAATCCTTTTCTGGAACTTAAAATCCCATAGAATACTCCAATTATAGCTTTAGTTTTATTTTAAAATATTTTTGTCTCAGGATATTATTTTACCAAATTTCTAAACTATAAACTTCTTAGAGCTATATAATACTCATAAATACAAGTTTACATACTAAGATATGTACTTGAATGTATGCTAATTTTATATTTATTTTAGGAAGTGATAAATGGTTTATTAAAAAAAACAAACTCGTTGCCGTCAAGTCCGTTCTGACTCATAGAGACCCTATGGGACAGAGCAGACCTGCCCGATAGGGTTTCCAAGGCTGTAACCTTCATGGAAGCAGACTGCCACATCTTTCTCCCACGGAGCAGCTAATGGGTTCAAACACCAACCTTTCAGTTAGCAGCCAAGCGCTTAACCACTGTGCCGCCAGGGCTCCTTAAGTGGTTCATAGGAGAGCAAAATCTTTTAAAAGATCCTTGTGCTTTTTTTGAAATCATTGGTAATTTTAACTTTTCTCCTAGATGCCAGGATAGAAGAATTTGTTTATGAGAAACTGGATAGAAAAGCTCCAAGTCGTATAAACAACCCAGAACTTTTGGGACAATATATGATTGATGCAGGGACTGAGTTTGGCCCAGGAACAGCTTATGGTAAGTGAAAGGCAAAAAGTTCTGGTAAGAAGTATCTTTACGTTTAGATTTTTTAGTACTTAAATACATTATTAACATTTGCCTATTATTAGTAGAATCAGTTTTCATTTCAAATTTATCATGTTAAAATTTTGAATGAAGTGAGAAATGAAAGTTGTCAGTAAATACGTACAGTTCAGTTTAGTATTAATATATTTAAGGATATATTATTCAGAGAATTCACATTATCTTTTTACTATTGAAAGGTTAAGTGAATTCTTCACTTACACTACAGTTGAATCTTAAAAATATGTCGTTATACTTCTCATGATATACTATAATTTTTATTGGCATATGTCTCCTCTACTTGATTTTTTTTAAGCTTCTTGAGGGTTTATTTCTGTCTTAAAGTTACTTGGCACATAGTGTTTGAGCAGATCATTAGTGTTTTGATTACACAATAAGGTCAGTACCTGTTGGGGAAATATAGTGAAACCTGTGAGAGCCAGAACGCAATGGGACTTGCCTTGTTTTTCCGGGCCTCAAGGTCTTCCATCTTTGACAGGGTGTAGCCTTTGTGCTTTTCTGTTGCTCTCTGTTAGTGGAAAATATTTGCATTTTTCTTCCCTGACGAGTTTGCACCTTACACAAGGTTCTGGCTTTCACACGTTTTACTGTATTTGTGTTTTTCTTCTCTGACAGGTTTCCGCCTTCACAGGCTCCAGCTTTCTCAGGTTTTTCTGTATAATTGAAAACAAAATCTACTCCCAGTCTCCACAAAAACAGAAAAGAAAACAGTTTTATTGTTGAATAAGCATTAAACCAGAATGTGATAAGTAAAAGATTGCAAAGCTGTAAAGAAATCTTACCCTTTCGTATAGCTAAGTGGATACAACCCATTAAATGTTAACTTTCTAGTATCTTTATGGCCACAGAGCCACTTGAAGTTATGCTAATCTTCTTCCAGGAACCTGGAGGTAGGGACATGATCTTCTTTATGATCGCATTTCAAGAAAGATGGCTCCTGGATCCTTGAGGAAACATCTTTGACTTACCTACTTTTCAAAGAGAGACTTTTACAGTTAGGAGTTTTCTAAAGTAAATGTTGGAAGGAAGCAGGGAGGGGTCTGTTCCTTATTTTTTATTTGTATTTCTCCTTATATTCCCCAGAAATACTAACATTGGTTATCTTTGGATATTGGAATTGTACATAATTTCTATTTTCTTTCTATATTTTTCCAATTTCTGTAATCCTATTTTATAGCTAAGCCAGCTTTGTTAATTGCTGTAATGAGTTTTCTAACATATAACTCTGAAGCTCAAAGTTATACACCTTTATTATGCCTCAAATCTAATTTTCTCAGAACATGAGATTATTTCAGATTCCTGTAGCTGCTTTTCTTGTGTATTTTCCTGTTGTATATTGTAATAATTCTTTTTATGAAGACTTGAAAGAAATTGTTCTTTTGGGATGTGATATGGTAGATTAAATGATTTTCCTGATTTACAAACTAGCTCACAAATTCTAGCATTAAATAAACTTAGTTTTAGTGGTTAACTTTGTGTCAGAAGGAAATAACCTAAATATGGTGTAATGCCACTATTCCATTGACTGGCTTTTAGATGTACAACTTTGAAACTTTGACTTTGTGTTCTTCAAAATCTCATTCTCTCAGAAGTCTGAAAATGCTTAAAATTTCTACAGTTTTATTTCTAAATTAATAACTATAAATTTTTAGAAAAACTTTATGCACCAAGCAGGTAGTTTTACTGCCTGCTTATGTCAGACATGATTAGATGTTGGGATCATAGAGGTACATAAAGGAGACCCAGTCCCTTCCTTCACCAAGCTGAAGGTCTAAGTAGAGCATGAACATTAGGAAGGTGTCTAGATTTCGATTTCCTTTTTCAATGTGTTTGATCTGTTTGCACTTCTAGTAAGCCCAGTGAATGTACCCTGATGATTGGAATTGCAGTTTGTAAACCTGTTTATTAGTAACTGATAATAGCTAATAATTGAGTATTCTAGGCATTGGGCTAAGTGCTGTATGGATTATATGCATCATTTCAGTAAACACTCACTTTTATCCTGCTTATAATGCAAATTATGTTATCTCTATTTTAAGGACAAGGAACCAGGTTTAAAAAGGTTAAATAATTTAACTTTGATCATACATGGAGCCCTGGTGGCGCAGTGGTTAAAGTGCTTAGCTGCTAACCAAAAAGTCAGCAGTTTGAACCCCCCAGCCACTCCACAGGAGAAGGATGTGGCAGTCTGCTTCTGTAACAGTTTACAGCTTGGTAACACTGTAGGGCAGTTCTACTCTGTCCTACGGGGTCGCTGTGAGTCGGAATCAACTCTATGGCAGCGGGTTTGGTTTTTTGGTTTATGATCATATGGCTAGTGAATGATTCAAATGCAGATCTGTCTGTATCCAGAGACTGCCTTCCTAGCTACTATGCTGTATTAACTTCCTTACAGATCAAATCTAATTTCATTCTAACACGCAGGAATGAAAAACCACAGAACTAAAGTTTTATTAGAGGTAATGCTGGAAGTGGAACCCTGATCTTGTGGTTCCCTTTCTGGTGCTCTGTCTACTTTCCGCTTTCTTTGTCCTATTTAAATATCAGGGTATATGTGTTACAAAAATGTGGACTTATTTTTTTTACTTAAGATATAAATGTGTAAACTATTATTTATAGATATTTGAGACAGTGCTTACATACAGAGACAGAGGAGAAATTGTGACTTGGTCTACTTATTAAAATATTGTGAGCATTGTGCCCTGGTGGTGCAGTGGTTAAAGAGCTTCACTACTAACCAAAAGCTTGGCATTTCAGATCCACCAGCTCCTCCATGGAAGCCCTATGGGGCAGTTCTGCTCTGTCCTATAGGGTCGCTATGAGTCAGAATCAACTCGATGGCAACGGGTTTTTTGGTTTTTTTTGGTATTTTTATAAGCATATCTACACAATTTAAACTGTGATCATAAATACTTTAGTGTATGTACCTCTCTTATACCAATTTGAACTGGTACAATTAACTATGCCTTGGTGGAAAATTCACCTTCTGTATTTTCGTTTAGGTATTTATAATCTTAGGAGACCTGGTGGCGCAGTGGTTAAGTACTCGGCTGCTGACGTAAAGGTTGGCAGTTCAAACCCAGCAGCTGCTCCATGGGAGAAAGATGTGACAGTCTGCTTCCGTAAAAGATTAACCAAACCCAAACTCACTGCCTTCAAGTCAATTCCAAACTTACAGCGACCCTATAGGACAGAGTAGAACTGCCCCATAGGGTACCCAAGACTGTGATCTTTACGGAAGCAGACTGCCACATCTGTCTTCCAAGGAGCAGCTGGTGAGTTTGAACGGCCGATCTTTTGGTTAGCAGGTGAGAGCTTAACCCTGCACCACCAGGCAGCTCCTCCATGAAAGATTACAGCATTGGAGACCCTATGGGGCAGTTCTACTCTGTCCTATTAGGGTCACTGTGAGTTGGAGTCAACTTAATGGCAATGGGTTTTTTTGTTTGATATGTATAATCTTAAATTTACTTTTGAAGTAAACTACCTTAATTACAGCTTATTCCATTTGATTTTACTTAAATAACAAGTGACAACTAACTTTAAAATCAGCAGATCAAATTGCTGATTTATCTTTATTACATGATTTTTTTATTTTCTGATGTTACCAGACAATGGTAAAGAAAACTTTTCTCCTTTGCAGGTAATGCCCTTATTAAATGTGGAGAAACGCAAAAACGAATTGGAACAGCAGACAGAGAACTGATTCAAACATCAGCCTTAAATTTTCTCACTCCTTTAAGAAATTTTATAGAAGGAGATTACAAAACAATTGCTGTGAGTTGGAAAATGTCTTCCCTCCCTTTTTTTTAAATAAAATAATTTAGATTGATGTACCTGTAGTTTTTAATGAATAGTTTGCCCTTTTAGTGATGAATTTGAAAGCTTTTAACTGTGTAGGTATAGGCGATTGGAAGAATCAAAAAATCTAGCCAATTGCCTATTCAGCAGAACCCAAAACTAAACCAAAATAAAGGAGCTTAGTTACATTGATTCCATTTTTGTGACCTTGCAATGTTATTAAGATGGCTTTACATTCATTCTCCTTCATTATCAGCATTAAAATCTATAGAGAGGTTTCTGGAATTAAGCTATGTGAAAGTATAGTATAAAATGTCACCATGGCATAGCCAGGGACCTAATCAGTGAAAGGTGGTTTTGTAGCTATTATACTCCCTGTGTTTTTGTATCTGTAGAAGTTTATTGAAGTCCCTCGGTGGTGCAGATGGTTAAGCGCTGGACTACTAAGTGAAAAGTTGGTGGTTCAAACCCACCGAAAGGCACCTCAGAAATAAGTCCTGGCTGTCAGTTTCTGAAAGGTCACAGCCTTGAAAACCCTATGGAATAGTTTACTCTGCACACATGGGATCGCCATAAGTCGGAATATTGATTCCCCGGCAACTAACAAAAACAGAAGTGTATTATCTTCTTCTTACGCTTCCATGTTTTATTGTTGACGTATAAGAAATAAATATTGTATCATTTTCTTTCCCAAACCTAATCTGTTAATTTCTGTATTTTTTAGTTTAACTTGTTTTGTAGGTCATGAAGAGTAATCCAGGTGAGGTTTTTTTCTGACATTTTTGCAAAGCTGTTCTTTATTGTAAATTCTGCTTCAGACTTGTTAATTTGTAGATTTCTTATCACAAAACATTATAGAAATTCACTACATTTACATGTGTTATTGACTGTGCAAAGGCGTTCGACTGTGTGGATAATAACAAATTATGGGTAAGATTGCAAAGAAGGGGAATTCCAGAACACTTAATTGTGCTCATGAGGAACCTGTACTTAGACCAACAGGCAGTTGTTTGAACAGAATAAGGGGATACTGCATGGTTTAAAGTCAGGAAAGCTGTGCATTAGGTTGTATCCATTCACCATACCTATTCAGTCTGTATGCTGAGCAAATAATCCAAGAAGCTGGGCTATATGAAGAAGAACGCGGTATAAGGCTTGGAGCAAGTCTCATTAACAGCCTGCGATATGCAGATGACACAACCTTGCTTGCTGAAAGTGAAGAGGATTTAAAGCACTTACTGATGAAGATCAAAGATTATAGCCTTCGGTATGGATTACACCTCAACATAAAGAAAACAAAAATCCTCACAACTGTACCAATAAGCAACATCATGATAAATGGAGAAAAGATTGAAGTTGTCAAGGATTTCATTTTATTTGGATCTGCAATCAATGCCAGTGGAAGCAGCAGTTAAGAAATAAATGATGCATTGCGTTGGGCAGATCTGCTGCGAAAGATCTCTTTAAAGTGTTGAAAAGCAAAGATGTCACCTTGAAGACTAAGTTGCGACTGACCCCAGCCGTAGTGTTTTCGATTGCCTCATATGCATTGGAAAGCTGGACGATGAATAAGGAAGACCGAAGAAGAATTGACGCCTTTGAATTGTGGTGTTGGCGAAGAATATTGAATATACCATGGACTGCCAAAAGAACAAACAAATCTGTCTTGGAGGGAGTACAGCCAGAATCCTCATTAGAAGCAAGGATGGCGAGACTTCGTCTCACGTACTTTGGACATGTTATCAGGAGGGATCAGTCCCTGGAGAACGACATCATGCTTGGTAAAGTAGAGGATCAGCAGAAAAGAGGAAGACCCTCGGTGAGATGGATTGACACAGTGGCTGCAACAATGGGCTCAAACATTGCAACAATTCTGAGGATGGCACAGGACCGGGCAGTGTTTTGTTCAGTTGTACATAAGGTCACTATGAGTTGAAATCGACTCAACAAGATTTATTTGTGGGAATGCGCATATTTGACCTCAGACAGAGGAAGAACCACCAAGTTAAAATATGATTTAAAAGAAATTGTCAGTAGGATGAAATTTGTTATATAGAATCCATCTAGGAATTAATAAAGTGAGAAAAAATTCTTAAACCAGAAGGTCAACAATTACTCTAAAGCAAGATGAGAAGATAAGGGAGCCAGGGAAACCAGAGCACTGGAGATGGAACAACCAGAATGCAGTTAAAGAGAAGGTTGAGACACTGAAAAATGTAACTAATGTCACTGAACAGTTTGTATAGAAAAATTGTCAAATGTGAACCTAATTTTCTGGGTAAACTTTTACCGAAAACACAATGAAATTTTATTAAGAAAGAAAAAATTCTTATAAACTTACCTACTGTACAGAAGTTTGAAGTTCCCAAGAGGAATTCTAAGATGCCATGCTGATGTTTACTCATTATTAATTCTTTAAATTTGAAATTCTGTTTTGGAGTAGTTGAGTTTTATTCAGTACTGGGGCACATTAAAAGCAGTCTGCCCAGTCCTTGAGGTAGATCACACAGAGTGTCAGGGAATCCTGCCGTAGGCCCATACCGCCTTCACCATAGGCACTTCCAGGATAATCTTTAACAGTTTAAAATGGGATTTCTCAACCTTGGCACTGCTGACATTTTGAACCGGATAATTCTTCACTGGGGAGCTCTCCTGCGTTGTATGATACTTAACAGCATACTGGGTATGCTGGGTAGAGTCCAGTAACGTTGCTCCTCCCAGTTGTGACAACCAAATGTGCCCTGGGGAGCAAAATCACAAAATATTAAAACTGACATTCCTTTGTTTCTACCATTGCCTGACATTGTTTCTGGATTTTAGTACATCTAGAATGTCTCGATCATTTTAGAAATGAAATCACTAAGAAAAGGGGTCAGAAACCTAAATGGTCACTTTATAGCCAATTTGTAATCATAGATTTTTTTTTTTCCAGATGATACATATATTTATTGGAAATCATATTTTAAATGTGTATGTTCTTAACTGGATTTTAGCATCTTTAGCCTTTATTTTTTTATATTTATAGAAAGAAAGGAAACTGTTACAAAATAAGAGACTGGATTTGGATGCTGCAAAAACCAGACTGAAAAAGGCAAAAACTGCAGACACTAGAGCTTCAGTAAGTATTGTTTTTTAATGGAAAACATTTTAGGTTAATAACTTTAAGATTTATAAAATCATTTTAGTAATGTACTATGCAAAATAATGTCTGTTATTGATACTAGAATATATAACTTTAAGGTCTTGTTTTTGTGCTTTTTAAACAAGCTTATCAGATCTTAATATAGCCAAATGAGTACATAGTAGCCATATCAAGAGGCAATATTCTTATTTCAGTGATACAGCGGTTGCTAGAAACAGTTATCACTCCTAAAGCTGTGTCACGTTCTTTAAATATCCTTAGTGGTGGCAACAAATGTCTTTTGAAGATAGGTTTATTATATTTGAAGATAGCAGAAAAGATAGTAATTTAGATGAGAATAATTCATGTTTAAGAATACTTGTGTGTGACTTAAAAATTAGGTGTGACTTTTTTTCCACATATGACTCAAACTGACTGAAGGAAGTGTCAAAGGATAGTTCCAAAAACATTCCAACAGTGGCAGCATGGGCTTCCAGATGGCTCTTTTGAAAGGGAGCAAACCCATTTTGGATAAATAAGTTCTGGTATATTTTTCAGAAAATCAACCTCAAGATAGCCTTTTATAGTTGAATAGGTGTATATTTCATTATTCTAAAATAATATAAACATATAAAATAATCTCATGATTTTATATATATCTTTCTTAAAAGGCTTTATTTATAACCTAATAGTTCTGTCTCTATCTCAATTCTAAAGCTTGAAGAGATTAATCAGAGTTGAATTGGACAGTATAATGTAAGAGAGTACAGTGTAAACAAGTATGAATTTATTACAGGAAGCTAAAGAGTTAATTCTTAATTTGAGTTATGGGGCATGTTTTGTTAAGAGGCACGTTATTCCCACTACCCTTTCTCTGTGTCCAACCCACTACCACTACCATCATCAAGAATCATTGCCTTAATGAGCTTATAACTACAGTATTGGTTGAAGTCTGTGGTAGCTCTTTTGTATTGGGAAAGAAAAGATTGAGAACTGGTTTACAGTGAAATTTAAAACTGGTAATTTGGTGTTAGACAGTGATGTCCCTCATGAGACTACCCCAACAGCTTATAGGAACAGAATAAGTTATTTGTTCTATAGTGGTCCGCTTTTAGAGATTTTATATTAGCTACTCTGTGGGAGAAGAGCTATCTGTGACATTAATTCCAAAAACTCACCTCTGATTTTATTATGACATATCATCATGAACCGTCTAACTTCTTTAAATAGGCTTTCTGTAGAATCAGAACTTAAAAAATGAGTACTATAGATGGCAAGAGACTCTAAATTAGAATTTATATTCATTTCTACTTGCTAATAAGTTTTTATAGTAAAATATAAATTGGTTTTTAAGATACTAATTCATAATCAGATAAAAAATGTTCAGATAAACAAGGATCATTTGGAAATAAATGTTTGAATTAGAATAGAATCATTTAATTCAAAATGCCTATATGTGCCCAGTGATTATGGAATAAGAATATTGTTATTAAGTTTCAGTACAAAATTTTGTTGAGCAAGGATTGTTACAGGATAATGATAGTCTACTTTTTTAACTTAGAAAAGTACCAGAAAGCACACAGAATTAACAGTATGCAGAGTCTTTTTGTTATTCTAAATTATTTTCCCATTACAATTAAAATATATAAGAAATAAATATATAATACTGGACCTAAATATGTAATACTGGACAAATTTTGAGAGAAGTTTCCCTTTCATATATCCAGAAAAAATCTTAACAATTTTCTGTGTTGTCTATTTTGGGGACAAATTTTTTTCCATGGAAATTTATGTTTAAAATTTAAATGAATTACAATTCAAATGATTTTATTCAACAATTTCATTTATAAACAGCTTTTCTAGAATTTATATATTATATAAAATGAAATTTAACTACAGCCAAATATTAAAAGTATTGGTCTAGACAAAGAAAACCACATTCTTTATTTAAGTCTGAAATAACTTTGGAAAAGAATAGCCCTCTTAGCTTCTTACTACATAAAGCCTTAAGGCATACCTATATTTGGTGATTGTTTTTCTTTTTTCTGTATTTCTCTTTCATGTACTTGAAGAATACAGAAAAATAGAAACCACTAGGGGTTTGGTTGTTGGTTTTTTTTTCCCTCCTTTGACATATTTCCTGATTCATACTTGGCGGCTAAAAGGACTGCTCTAACCCTAGGCTTTCTTTGATTTCACTTCTTTATTAATTTCCATGGATTGATTGTTTAGAGACTAGTTAATTCTCTACTAGAAAGGTTTGAGACCTGTGCATATCAGTACTTTCTTTAAAAATTCATTTACAATAGAGAGTCCTGGACAGAATAGGAGAAAAATGCATAACAAAATTCAGATTCACAAAAAAGACTAGACTTACTGGTCTGACAGAGACTGGAGAAACCCCCAAGACTATGGCCCCTGACACTCTGCTAACTCAGAACTGAAACCACTCCTGCAGCTCGCTTTTCAGGGCTCCAGACAAAGACTAGACAGGCCTATAAAACAATAACACGTGTGAGGAATGTGCTTCTTAATTCAGTCAAATATACGAGAATAAGTAGGCAGCTCCTGCCCAAAAGCAAAATGAGAAGGCAGGAAGGGACAGGAAGACTAAAGAATGGACCCAGGGAACCCAAGGTGGAAAGAGGGAGAGTGCGGTCACACTGCGGGGATTGCAGCCAATGTCACGAAACAATATGTGTATAAATTTTTGAATGAGAAAGTAACTTGAGCTGTAAACTTTCACCTAAAGCACAATAAAATTTTTTTTTAAGAATTCATTTGTTCCATAGTCTCTCATGACCTCTTTTTATACTCTATACTTACTGAATACCTATTTTGTGCAAGATACTCTGCTGTGGAGAAGTTCATAGGTAAATAATGCAAAATCTTTGCTGCCCATAGTTCACAGTACAATGTAGTACAGTAAACTTTTTGATGGTTTATCCCTTTATCAGTAAAAAAATTTCTACATGTACTCAGTATTGCTACTTTACTAACTTATGTTTTATTAGTTAGCATGTTGAAAAATGGTAAAGGACTAGAAGAGCAACGTCAAAGGCAATTTCTCAAAAATATACCAGTTGAGCAAAAAAGAGAAAACTTACTTTGTATCATGGTGAACAAAAATACCCTATTCAAAGGTTGTATTATGATAAAACTTAACGTCACAGGGGCAAAGACAACATATAACTTCTACGTGTAAATTACAAAGCACTGACATTGATTAACGTAACCTTATCTTTCTTAAACTTTTTTTTTATTATTTTAGAGTTTTGTTAATGGGAAGAAAAAAATCAGCTGGTTTCAGAGCTGTCCGGTATTTAGAGGTTTAGGCCTCTGTTATTTTTTGGCATCCAAATATCATGGAAAATAGATCTTCAAGTAACCTAATACAGCAGATGTGTCCCTCTGCCCACTTAAGCATTTCCACAGTGGTCTAAATATTTAATCTGTAAACTGAGTAAATTCATAGCACCATCATATAGCCTTACTTATATATGTACACATGTCAGAATTTAAAGTTTATTGGAAATACAAGGGTTGACATGCCTTTCATATTTCTTCAGGGTATGCCAAGACCTGGCTGAGGCGATTGAAAAGACAATGTGGTTGAAGGCATCATAAATTCATAAAATAGAAATGATCTTTGAATAGGGAAGTTGTGAGTAGGCAGCAGGGCTTTCATAGTTGAAAACTTAATAAAAATTTTAGGTAACTATGGCAGATTTGAAAGTGATGCATCTTCCCTAAATGGTTCTACTTTAAAATCAAGCATCAGCATGTTTTTTGTTTTTTGAAAATTTGAATGATTTAGAAAAATTGAATAGGTACCACTATGCATAGAACAGTATAGTTTTTCTTGTTTTGTTTTTTTAAAGTAGAGAAACTTTTATCAGCTCCTTTAATACTTATTTAGTGTGTTCTTTATTGTGCAGAAGTAACTTGTTTCCCTGTATTCATTGGTATAATGTGTTCTTTGTCTCTTACCTATGCACTTAAGCAACTAAACTCAACTCGCCTTGAAGGAGATAACATTATGGTAAATTTCTCTTACATGCTCAACTTCCTGCATGTAAAATGGCTGAAGGTTTGTTGGCCTACTGTGTTTTATACATCTTAAATAAAGTGTCTTCTCTTGCTATTAGCAGCATTTAAAAGTCTAAAATAGTCTATACTCTAATAAAAAATACTGGCTAAAGTGATATTGGAGCTTGAAGAAAAGAAATTGTATATTCTAATTGCCAGACGTATTGGCTATGCCAAATACAGATTTTAGAATCTGAATTTATACATACGTATATAATGCCTTTTTATACCCAATAAAAGACGTTAGGTTAGCTGGCGTTTTGTATTTTCAGTTTTGACAAAATTGACAAGATTTACTTTACTTAGAGAAAGGTGGAAGCATTAATTATCATGAAATACGCAAACTGGCTTTGCTTATCAGTAGCTTCAATGTTTACCTTATTTTCACCCTAACTCAACAAAGAATTTATTCTGCTATTCCAGGGCCAAGACCAGTGGCGTCGGTAGGGTTGGTGTCACCCCCCACCTCCACCGGGGCAGGCTGGCCAGCAAACCCCTCCTCCGTGGGTGGCGTAGCCCTAGCCCCGCACAGAGCTGAGTGCCTTGCTGCACAGCCTGCCTATCCAGAACCCGCACCCCATCCCTACTGTGGCTCCCCACAGCTCCTCACCTCTCCTATTGGCCAAGACAGAGACCTTCCTCTCCACCCAGTGGTGGGCACCCGCGGTCCAGCCACCCGCACACAGACTGGTGGGTGATGGGACGGGTGATGGTGGTGGTGATGACGAGTTACCACACTGGATAGATAGGTAAAACCAACCCTAGTGACACCACTGCCTTGGCGGCCCCTCCCCTGGCTATGCCAGCCCACCCACCGCTGCCACTGCTGCCACCACAGAGCTTGTCATTTTGGTGTCACCCCCTCTAACAGTGTCTGGAGGTGCAGTCCTTACGCTTCGAACTTGCCCACGCCACCCCACCCCACCCCACCCCACCCCCGTGACACCACTGGCAAAGAACTCCAGCAGTTTAGGTATTCTGTAGTGGCCAAGTCCATTCCCCATCCAGTCCCGACTCACTTAAGAAAGGTGCAGAATAGTGATGGTCTTGGGCAAGAATCAGGAATGAGAATTGTTCTATATTATCCAGTGTATATACTGAGCTCAATTTGAGGAAATTATTGAGATGTTAGAAATTACTAATTTTTTTTTTAACAAAGTAAAAAAATCTGAGCATAGCCAAGTTCATAAATGTTAGCCAATAAAAATTAAGATACAGTGTTTGGTATTATACTCTAGATAATACCAAATACTTCAGTAGAGGTGGCATGAAATCTACAGTAGAGTTAATAATAAATTGGCAGTTGATTGCTTTTATCCCAGTAGCATTGAACTAAAAGCAGGGAAAAAAAAATCGTTGTAATCAGAAAGATTTTACAGAATATGTAAAGTTATTTTTTAGTTTTTGTTTTTTAACTACTGTAACTATTGAAGCCCTGGGTAAATTAGGGCTTTCCTTAGATAGCAAGAGAATGCATCCTTTTATTTCCATTGTCCTATCTGTTAGGTAAATGTAAAAGTGTGAGAATTTCAGTCATTGCTAATTTATAAATCCTAGGTTTCTTTTGTCTTAATGTGAAAAACGCCTCCAGAACAATTGGCAGGACTCTTATGTCTTATTTATCAGGTTTTTTTTTTTAACTACTGATTCCATATACTTACTTAAGAAGTATTTACTTTGGTAATGTTAAATTTATTATATCTCAAGTTTTATTGTGCCCTTCCCCCTCCCCAAAAAAAAAGCTGTATAAATCTTCACTGTCCATTTATCCTTGCTTTAATTTCCTAAAATTCTAGAATTTTAGACCTAAATAAGACATTATAAATCATGTAGTACAAACATCCAGTTTTACAGATGAGTAAATTAGAGTTGTGAGGTTAGATATTCCCAATTTGGGAGACTGTATTTTTATTAACTTACAGAATTAATATAAGATTTAAAAATTTGGTAGTATGGATAGATACCAATGTATACTTTCACAGTATATTAAACTTTATTGATTTAGTTACTAATGTATTTTATCTCTTAATATGATTCTAGAGAAGGAGAATATGCCAGTTGAATTAAAATACTTACATTTTTTATACTAAGTTGTAGAAAATGTTAAATTCCAACTTTCTTTCATGCTCTATATTTTTCTCTAATTTTTAATGCTGGCTAGATTTGGGCAGAGGAAGTGACAAAAGTAAGTAAATTATTAAATTACAGAATTATGAAACAAGAATTTAATTGTTATTGATTTGGTTAATATTTATTGGGCAGCAACCATGGGGCCAGTCACAGTCTGTGTAACTGTATCTTGCAAAATCTGGAAGTCATCATGGGAAAGCTCAGATCTGTGTAGCTAGTAGCAGCTCCACAGAGCAGTAGAACAATATTGCAGGGATGTGCTTTGCACATTTCTGATATATCCTAAGTGCTTACTACAGACAGTCCCCTGGCTACGAACATCCGACTTCCCTACAACCTGTAGTTATGAACCAGCCCCCGTGAAGCCTATTATATTAAAAATTCGAAGTGCATAAAACAATGGTTTGTATAACAGATAGTTGCTACTTTGCATTGCTCATCAAAGCATTATTACTGTATTATGTAGAAGATGTTTTAGTGTATCTGGAAGTGTTTCATGTTTTTTATGCATAGGAAGGTACGCTGTGTACTATATACTAAGACAGACATCTGACTGACGTTAGCTATGAACCGTACCTAACTGTTCCAACTTACATACAAATTCAACTTAAAGACTGACTTAGGAACAGAACTCATTCATAATCCGGGGACTGCCTTTATATTAAGTGATATTCTTTATAATGCCTTGCCAGGAGACAGTTTAAAGACTTAGTTTACTCCCATGACAATTGGTTTTTAAGTGACAGTTTTTCTCTATCTCATTTTCAAAATTTAAAATATAGTTAACACCAGGTCCTGTATCTTCAGAGAAGTAGGTGTGTCATATGTCACACAAGTGAATTTTCTAGGTAATTCTGAAGTTTGTTCTCCTCAGCTCCAAAGCTTATTTTTCTCAGTCACTTTAGTTTAAAATATCTTTTTTTAAAAAAGTACTTTATTGCTGCATTAAATACAAGATAGCAAGTATTTAATTTTATTTACACTTAGGGTCATTATTATGAATATCCATTATTGTACTGTTTAGCAATCGGATCTGTTGTTTGTTTTACAAATATGTTGCCTCTTCCCTCAGTGTCAGACTGTCGTTTCTAGAAACTGTCCATGTGACTGTTGCTAGCAGTACCTCTGTCTGTGTTACGATTTCTAATCTTCTCTGGGCTGAGAAATCAAGTAGCTAAGCAAGAGTTTATGGAATAAAAGTATGACTTCAGTGCAGATGTGTTTCAAATGCTATTTTAAGTCTTCAGAAGGATTTTTTTTCATTTACTCTTCATGTTCAGGACTTACCAGATCTGACCTCCAGATGGAGGGCAGTGCTTGGGGATGGAGGGCAGTGCTTGCGGATTGAGGGCGGGTGATAATTGTGTCCTCTGACTATTAATAGCCTTACAAACTTTAACTTTTTTATATACTGACTTTGTAGGATTGACTTATGCTCCCATTGCCTTTGTGGTAGCCATTCATTAACTTAGTTTCTGGTTCCACCCTGGCTCCAGATTTCTTCTGGAACCTCTAGCATGAAAAGGGGGCAGAGTAACATAAAGGTGATATAGGTTGAGCAAGAAAACAAGGTTCTTTCCCGCTTTGGTTGGCATAACAAGTACATCAAAGTATTTGATTTGATTTTGCAATCTCAAGATTGGAAAATATTTGATATAATAAATAGGAAGAAACTCATGAAGCAAACATTTATATTATGTATGTATACATGAAAAAACAAGGAACTATATCAGAATGGGTTTGGGGAGGTTTTTTTCCCTTTCTGTACTTCTCACTTTTATCATTTTTATACTTAAAAAAAACTAAAACTTCATGTTCCTGCAATATATTAAGATTTAAGCCCATAGAAAAAAACTGGACAACACTGACCAAGATTGTCATAGTAAATACCTCAGAAGTATGACCAAAATTTCTAGCTTTTAGATACCCAGTCGTGGTATCGCAGACCAACAGATTTTTGTCCTTTTTCCAAGTTACATCTTAAAAGAACTCTGCTTACCTAATCCAAGTTAGGCTATTGTATTTTCTAGATCAGTCAGTCCAGTAACAGTAATTCTAAGCCGTAGATCTTTTCCTTAGAATTCTACTCACTCTTAAAATTTAGTCAGGGAATGAGACCTTCTGGAGGACAGAATATCAACATTTTAATAATCTGTTGTCTTTCTTTCAATCCTTTTTATTGGTATTTTTCTAATAATGGATCGTTTTCTACCTAAGTAAACTGATTATACTGAACCTAATTTAAATTTCTTCAGCATCTCAGATTGGTTATTATGATCAATAATATATGCCAGAAGTATAAATGGTTTGGGACATTAGGCCAAGTTTAGAACCATCCAGACATACCCTGAAACTTAAGAAATGAGATTTACTCCTTTCGTATTTATCTTTTCTAAATATAAACTCCAGATTGTACAGAAAAATTACTTCCTAGGCTTTGTAACATGGTACCTTGCTTCAAAATTAAGTACTAAATTTTGCTCAATCCCAGAAGATTGATCACTTGTCCTTAATAAAATCATTTGTTATATAATTTTTTTTTTTGCCAGTATCTTAGCATTAAAACCTTATTTCCACTTCAGTCTCAAGCTTCTAGGTCACTTCAGTCTGCTACCTAGCTTACTTGTTTATACCTTGTACAGAAATTAGTAGGTTTTTCTACTGTTTCTACTAAAGGCCATTATTAAATCAAATTGTAATTTTTGCATTCTTTTACTTCTGAAGTTCATTTATTTTTGTTTTGCTGTGCTTCTATTAATCGAAACCTTTTGTATTCAACCAAGCAAAACAGTAAATAGTGCAGATGTAACACTGCAGTGATTTATTTTCCTTAACGCTTTCCTTAGGAAGAACATTGATTCTTTTCTTTTCCTGGACTTCTCTCTGCTTCATATTAGCTTACAGATGAAGCTTACTTCAGCCCTGCTATCAGAGCAGCATGTATTCTGATTTCAATCAAGTAAATTTAAACTCTTGACTCAATGAGTAATTCAAGCTTATTTCCATAAATCCAATCTTATTGTCAATTTTTCGTCCCCTCTGCCAGGTCTGTGGCCAATGGAATGAGAATGGTTATAGCAACTGATTATCTACTTTGATTATTTACTTTTTGCTGCTGCTTCCTTTTTGACTGGTTCACTGGGTTAACTACCACCACCAAAGGGTGAAGGAGAGGGGGAATGGGGCATGCAAGTAAAAAATTCAAACCTTATTTTTATACTTACTGAGGTCTTTGATATGCCCCAAGTTATTTGCATAATTGGGGGGGGGCTGTTTATGTTGAGAGGTAATTGAGATCATTATAATGACATCACCAGTGATGATGCTTCATTGGGGGTAGGATAAGCTAGCTATTTTGAGTGAGCTCTGAGGTTTTATTTTCTCTTCCCCACTTCTGCCAGGCAACTCTGGGTAAAGGTTTGAGAACATGTTTTTTGCCAATATTTACTGTTTTTAGATCATGTTGATTTTTAGTGAACTATTTTGTCCCCACATTAGCTAGATGGTTGAAGCCAGCGATGGTGTGCTATTATAGGCAGCTCTTCCCCACTCTTAGGTCAGGGACTTCACCTGGTAGTTTGAAATCAGCCATGGTGGGAGTAATTTATACCACAAAATCTACAAACACTACAAATTAGGTCCCCCCCCCCCCCGGGAGATCTGGTTTACTAGCACTAGGTTGATGGAAGATCAACCATAACTTTCAAGAAAAACTTTTTAAAACCCTGTATATCTTTTAGATAATTTTTCTATTTAAGGTATATTTTATGCAGAGTTTTGAAAGAATATTAAGAAGAAAGACATTTAAAATGTAGGACAAAGAATCCTTTGAGGGACCTAAGAACTGTTCCTAGCAACAAGTGTTTGTTTGGTAACTAACAAAAGGGGTTAGAATCCTGTGGCTTCAGTGTGTAAAGTCTGAAGACTGTCCTTAACTTAAAAATAAAAAACTATACTAATAATTGAGAATTTTTGGCAATGATATTACTTTAACATTTATAGAACTGTGGTAATCTTAAGATTTTATAAAACACTAGATTTTTTGAATTTAGCAGAATTGATACTAGAAAATGTATGAAAGTATCTTGACTGTTCCATTGTAGTTTTTCTAGACTTTTTTGAGTATGTCATTAAGCTTTTGCATTAATAGATTCTTTAGAGTCAAGTACTGGTGAGGAATCAGTTCTGTCTAGGTTGAGTAATATAGAACAACTAAGGTCCAGAAACTAGGGACCAGTTTAGACACAAAGCAGAATCAGGGAATTGCCAGATTATAATTTCGAGTTTTTTCTTTATAACTGTCTAAAGGAATGTATAAGATGGTTTAAGTCTTCTAATAAGCTTCTAAAACTTACGTTCCAATTTAAGTCTGAACAGGAATTAAGAATAACTCAAAGTGAGTTTGATCGCCAAGCAGAGATTACCAGACTTCTGCTAGAGGGAATCAGCAGTACACATGTGAGTGCTCGTTTACTGGAAATGTATTTGGAACAATAGACTTTGATAATCCTAACGTAATGGTGTTTGGGGAGGAAACAACTGAACTTCCTTTCTAATCATTTATTAAGGAAGTTTAAATTGTGGCAATTTCGAAAATATATGAATTATTTTACATTTTTACTTACACCTCGTCACTTAATTCTCCCACTCTCTTCAAACCCAGTCACTGGTTTTTGTTTGTCAAGCAGTTTGTTACTATACTACTGACTGAGGTCGGTCTTAAGCCTTATAGTAAGATATTGGATACTCCCTTAGTACAGTGTTGTGCTCTGTCTCCCCTTTGTGTTTGCCACTTTAAGTAGATTATAGCACTAAGAACTGACTGTAACTTTCCTTTACAGGCCCATCACCTTCGCTGTCTGAATGACTTTGTAGAAGCCCAGCTGACTTACTATGCACAATGTTATCAGTACATGTTAGACCTCCAGAAACAACTGGGAAGGTAGTAATTTCCTTTTCATACACTCTGGGATTGCAGCAAAAGGGTTGCTATTGTTACCATTCATACTCATGTTTTGCTTTGTTGTTGTTAGTTGCCATCAAGTAGATTCTGACTCATGGCGATCCTGTGTGTTACAGAGAGCTGTTCTATAGGGTTTTCAAGGCTGTACCCGTTCTGAAACAGATCGCTGGGCTTGTCTTCCGAGGTGCCTCTAGGTGGGTTTGAATTGCCAACCTTTTGGCTGGTAGTCAGGCACTTAATTGTGCCACCCCAGGGGACTCCACATTTTGCTTAAAGCTACACAAATGCTTGGAACTCAGCCATTTGAACGAAATCTAGTTATTACTACACTTTAGGTTAGGCCCAAACCTTACAAAGTGAAATCAATGCCGTCATTCTGGGAAGAAAGTCTAGCTCATCTCTCTGCCCTCAAAGAATTATATTACAATGATAAGCAGTGGGGGAAATTTTAAGCCTTTATTTTGTTGCAGGTTACTGCTTTTTAAGACAACATATGTTGCTGTTGTTAGGTGCCGTCGAGTCATTTCCAACTCATAGCAACCCCACGTACTACAGAACAAAACAGTGCCCCATCCTGCGCCATGCTCCCAGTCATTATGCTTGAGCCCATTGTTGTAGCCGCTGTGTCAGTCCATCTCGTTGAGGGTCTTCCTCTTTTTCGCTGACCCTGTACTTTACCAAGCATGATGTCCTTCTCCAGGGACTGATGCCTTCTGACAACATGTCCGAAGTATGTAAGACAAAGCCTTGCCATCCTTGCTTCTAAGGAGCATTCTGGTTGTACTTCTTCCAGGACAGATTTGTTTGTTCTTTTGACGGTCCATAGTATATTCAATATTCTTCGCCGACACCACAATTCAAAGGCGTCAGTTCTTCTTCGGTCTTCTTTATTCATTGTCCAGCTTTCACATGCATATGATGCAGTTGAAAATACCATGGCTTGGGTCAGTCGCACCTTAGTCTTCAAGGTGACATCTTTGCTTTTCAACACTTTAAAGAGGTGTCTTGCAGCAGATTTGCCCAACGCAATGCGTCTTTTGATTTCTTGACTGTTGCTTCCATGGGTGTTGATTGTGAATCCAAGTAAAGTGAAATTCTTGACAACTTCATTCTTTTCTCCATTTATTCTGATGTTGCTTATTGGTCCAGTTGTGAGGACTTTTGTTTATGTTGAGGTGCAATCCATACTAGAGGCTGTAGTCTTTGATCTTCATCAGTAAGTGCTTCAAGTCCTCTTCACTTTCAGCAAGCAAGGAAGGTTGTGTCGTCTGCATAATGCAGGTTGTTAATGAGTCTTCCTCCAATTCTGATGCCACATTCTTCTTCATATAGTCCATCTTCTCGGATTATTTGTTCAGCATACAGATTGAATAGGTATGGTGAAAGAATACAACCTAACACACACCTTTCCTGACTTTAAACCACATAGTATCCTCTTATTCTGTTTGAACAACTGCCTCTTGATCTATGTACAGATTCCTCATGAGCACGATTAAGTGTTCTGGAATTCCCATTCTTCACAATGTTATCCATAATTTGTTATGATCCACACAGTTGAATGCCTTTGCATAGTCAATAAAGCACAGGTAAACATTTTTATGGTATTCTCTGCTTTCAGCCAGGATCCATCTGACATCAGCAGTGATATCCTCGGTTTCATGTCCTCTTCTGAATCTGGCCTGAATTTCTAGCATTTCCTTGTCAATATACTGCTGCAAGTGCTTTTAAATGATCTTCAGGAAAATTTTACTTGTGCGTGATATTAATGATATTATTCAGTAATTTCTGTATTCACTTGGATCACATTTCTTGGGAATAGGCATAAATATGACGCTCTTCCAGTTGGTTGGCCAGGTAACTGTCTTCCAAATTTCTTGGCATAGAGGAGTGAGCACTTGCAGTGCTGCATCCGTTTGTTGAAACGTCTCAACTGATAAAATTCCATCAATTCCTGGGGCCTTGTTTTTTGCCAATGCCTTCACTGCAGCGTGGACTTCTTCCTTTAGTACCATCAGTTTCTGATCATATGCTACCTCTTGAAATGGTTGAACGTCGACCAGTTCTTTTTGGTACAGTGACCATTTGTATTCCTTCCATCTTCTTTTGATGCTTCCCATGTCATTCAACATTTTGCCCATAAAATCCTTCCAATATTGCAACTCAAGGCTTGAATTTTTTCTTCAGTTCTTTCAGCTTGAGAAATGCTGAGCATGTTCTTCCCTTTTGATTTTCTATCTCCAGCTCTTTGCACATGTCATTGTAATATTTTACTGTCTTCTTGAGCCACTCTTTGAAATCTTCTGTTCAGTTCTTTTACTTTATCATTTCTTCCATTTGCTTTAGCTGCTCTACCTTCAAAAGGAAGTTTCATAATCTCTTCTGACATCCACTTTGGTCTTTTCTTTCTCTCTTGTCTTTTTAATGGCTTCTTACTTTTTTATGTATGATGTCCTTGATGTCATTCCACAGCTCTTCTGGTCTTCAGTCATTAGTGTTCAACACGTCAAATCTAGTCTTGAAATGGTCTCTAAATTCAGATGGGATATACTCAAGGTCATACTTTGGCTCTCATGGACTTGTTCTAATTTTCTTCAGTTTTGACTTGAACTTGCTTATGAGCAGTTGATGGTCCGTTCCGCAGCTGGCCCCAGCCTCATTCTGACTGATGATATTGAGCTTTTCCATCACCTATTTCCACAGATGTAGTCGATTTGATTTCTACATATTCCATCTGGCGAGGTGCATGTGTATAGTTGTCGTTTATGTTGGTGAAAAAAGATATTTTCAATGAAGAAGTCGTTGGTCTTGCAAAATTCTGTCACGTGATCTCCATCGTTTCTATCATCAGGACCATATTTTCCAACTACTGATCCTCCTCCTTTGTTTCCAAGTTTTGTATTCCAATCACCAGTAATTAATCAATGCATCCTGATTGCATGTTCGATCAATTTCAGACTGCAGAAGCTGGTAAAAATCTTCAGTTTCATCATGATTAACCTTAGTGGTTGGTACATAAATTTGAATAATAGTCGTATTAACTAGTCTTCCTTGTAGGCATATGGATATTATCCTATCACTGACAGTGTTGTACTTCGGGATGGTCCTGAAATGTTCTTTTTGACGATGAATGCAGCGCCATTCCTCTTCAAGTCGTTATATAGAGATAGCCAAATCCAGAACTTGAACACTCATCCAGATGATTTGCTCTTAATTTTTAAAAAGGCACTTTTCCAGGATACAGTATAGATAAAAATCCATGCCTTCATGGAACTTAACATTCTATTTGGGAGCAGAGCAGAAAATAAATATGTGTATAAATTATACAGTAGTATATTACCAGTACCAGTTGCCATCTAGTCAACTGACTCATGTCAGAATAGAGCTTGTGCTTCATAGTTTTCAATGGCTGATTTTTCAGAAGTAGATTGCCAGGCCTTTCTTCCAATATATATAATGCTTACAATAAACTTCCATGTAATATTGTGAGAAGTCATTGGGGGAAAGTTGTATGGAAATGAGAGAAGGAAAGTTAAGAGACAAAGATGAGGTTAGAGAGGCAGAGGAAGTAGGAAGAGAAAAATAAATAAGCAGAATGGGAGAAGGAAACCACACTAGGAAGGAAAAGGGATAGATGGGGAAAAAAGAGAGTGGATTATGAAAGGAAAAGGAAAGAGAATATTTAGAATCTGATGTTTAGGAAACCATATTTCTCATACCTAGGGATTCAGTTTTGAAGTGAATTTCACAGTGTTTTTGCCTCATCATAGTTCCTCAGAATTCTCATTAACCACTGTTTATAGCTGTGAAATAAAAAATGGTATGTGATATTTAAGTTGTTTTACATTGATAATTTTAGTTAACGATTCTTATGTTAGTGTTTGTTGTCTAAAAATGAAGTTTATTAGTTGCCGTTGAGTCGATTCCAACTCATGGCGACCCCATGTGTGCATAGTAGAACTGCACTCCATAGGGTTTCAAGGCCGTGACCTTTCAGAAGCAGATCACTAGGCCTGTCTTTCAGGGTGCCTCTGAGTGGGTTCAGACAGCCAGCGCTTTGTCTAATGGTCGAGTGTGTAACCATTTGTGCCACCCAGGGACTTAAAAGGTGATAAATGCTATGGAGAAAAATAAAGCAGGGAGGTACCTCAGTTGTGGGTGGAGGATTGCAGTAGTCAGGGAAAGCAGACTTGAAAAACATGAGAGAGCAAAGCATGCAGGCATCTGAAAGAATAGTGCTGCAGCCAGAGATTACAGCAGGTACAAACACCCTGAAGCAGGATTGTAGCTGGCATGTTCAGGGAACTTCAAGAAGGACTTGACTAGAGATGAAGAAGGGTAGAGGAAATGGGGAGCTGGAACATAACAGCTTGAAAGCCACTGTATAGACTTACTCAGAGCTGAGGAATCATTGAAGGGTTTTGAGCTGAGGAGTGACATATTTTGATTTTAGACTTTAATAGGATCATTCTGGCTGCTATGTTGAGGATAGATGAGAGAATGGGTGGAAACTGACAGACTGTTTGGAACCTGTTGTAATAATTCAGTCAGTAATCCAGTCAGGAGGTGATGGTGGCTTGGATCCACGGCAGTTGTGGTACATGTGGTAGAAGTGGTCTGATCCTGGGTGTATTTTAATGGAGTTGTGGTTAATTAAAATGGGGAATACCATAGGAGAAGCAGGTTGTTGGGGGTGAGAGGGGAGGCATGGCACATTAGGTATATCGAAAGCTCAGTTTTAGACATACTAAGTTTGAAATGGTCTATTTCAAGAGAGCTGAGAAGCCAGTCATGGAGAATGGGAAGATGTGAGCAGCAAGGTAAGATGTAACCATGTGTGGGCCCTGGAAGTCAAGTGAAAAAAATGTATCGAATTGGAGGACAGTGATCCACCGTGATCGCTGAATAGAGCAAGTGAGATGAGGACTGAGAATTGACCATAGGATTTAAGAACACTGAAGTCATACCTGACCTTGACAATAGTAGTTTAGCTGGAACAGTAGGGACAAAAGCTTATTTAGCATGAACTTATAAGAAAAATGGAAGGAGAGGAATTAAGACCGTAAGTTTAGAGAAGTCTTTAAAGGAGTAAAAGAGGAGCAGAGATGAGGCCATCGCCAGAGGACAAAGTGGAGTCTAGCAGCTTTTTGTTTGTTTTTTTTAAGAGAAATGGAGCGTGTTTGTAAGCTGTTGGGAATGATCTGGTAGATGGAGAAAATATGGTAATGTGAGTGAGAAAGAGAAAAATTGCTAGAGTGATAGCCTTGAGAAGAGATGAGATTTTGTTCACAAGTGGAGGAATTAGCCTTAGGAACATAGACAGCTCATCTTTAGTAATAGGAAAGATGACAAAAATGTGGAAGTTCACTGATTATTCTCTTTCTCTAGGTTAAAAAAGAAACAAGTTCATCAGCTGAGTGTGGGGAAAATTGCTGAAATTTTGAGGAGGGGCAAGAGGGTATGAAATAGTCACCAGGAGAATGGAAAGTGAATAGGCTAGAGAAATGTAATTGCCGGCAGCATTGTAGGCCCACTTGAGGTTTCTAGTCATAAATTGAATGTAAACCCAGCAACCTGGTTTTTTTTTATTTTTCTCCATCACAGTAGATGCGTGAGTACTGAGTATGTGAATAGTGAGGTTTTTACCAAATGAGTACAGTGAACTGAGGAGGCATAGGAAATGAGAGCATATACAAGGAAATGATTATAAAAATGACCATGGATATGAAGGAGGTGTTGGTAGCATAGGTCCTGGTAGGCTTGTTGAAGTGAGTACTAAAAAGATAAAAGTGATGGTCAGAGGGCAGTATGCTTGAAATATGATTATTGGAAGGGTTGTAGTTATTGGGATTGATATGGTTTAGATGTGACCATGGAAATGGGTGGCTGAACTAGGGGCAAGAACAGGATCACTAACAGAAAAGTTCATAGATCTTAGAGGCTGAAGTGTTAGAAGGATTGTCTATATGAATATTAAAATCACCGAGAATTAAAATACACTGTCAGTGAGCCAGAGCCCTGGTAACGCAGTGGTTAAGAGCTACAGCTACTAACCAAAAGGTTGGCAGTTCGAATCAACAGGTTGCTCCTTGGAAACCCTATGGGACAGTTCTCATCTGTCCTGTAGGGTTGCTATGAGTCAGAATCAACTCAACGGTAGCGGGTTTAGTTTTTTGGATATCAGCCAGGAGCTAAAGTCTTCTAGAAATGAAGGGAAGGGAACAAGGGGGGTCTGTAGATAATTGCAACAAGAAAAGATCGTGGGTAGTGTATAACCTAATAACATGACATGCAGACATTGGTAGGGTTGGTTAGGGAGGAGAAGAGTCTAGAAGTGGCAATGAGGAGCATAGAACACCTACTTCATCCACCTCTAGGCGGGAGGAAATAAAAAACATTAGCATAAGGTGATGAAGGGAAGATTTAGAGAAGAAGTTAAGGATATAGGGAATTTTGCTGATGGCTGACTGATTTCTAGATGGCACAATAGTCATAAAGAGAAAAAGAAAATTGTATTTTCTGGAGGGAAGAATTTTACTCAGCCTACAAAATAAAATGTTTTATATTTTAATTAATGGGTTTATTAAAACTTAAATATGCATTTTCACAGATAATCTCCAACCTTAGAAAAGGTTGGATTAGAATGGTTTATAGGCCTGAAGTTTTACATTCTTTTCCATTTAGTGTTATTAGGAGGCAAAGTAGCCTTACCATAAATTGAAAATTCTGATTTTCTTTTGAATTGTTTACAAGCACGTTAATCACAAAGATTTTACTGATTTCTAATAAAATTATTTTTTTTCATTAAAGAAGACAGACTTGTGAAATTTGCCTTATTCTCCCATTGCATCTTCTATTTCATTGTGATAATTATCAATCATATTATTTGCATGTCCATTTCACCACTTGTGCTTAAAAGAATGATGTCATTTCATCTTTGTGTCTTCAACTTGTAGTAATGCTGGACATGTAGATGCTCAATAGATGTTTGTCATTTCAATGAATAGGAAAATATGATTGGATTGGTTTTATAAAAAAGATTTCAAGTTCCTCAAAGAATTAACTTGAGAAAGCTTCATTCATAATGGTATCTGATATTTAAGTGGTTTTTGTTTGATGATTTTATTTAACAATTCATAAAGGGAGGAAAAGATTGATAAAACATACCAAATGTTCCTTAAATAGGAGTCTTTCAGCAAGCTTCTAGAAATAGCCATTATATTTTTTGAAAGACAGCTCTGAAAAAAACTTTCAAGGATTTATATTTTAAAAACACCTGAATATTCTGTAGTATAATTGGCTAAGAGGGAAAAGGAAGCTAGATGACACATTTTGTCATTAAAGTATTGTTATTAATGTGTAAATCTTTTTCCAGAGTGGAAGTTGGTAGAGAGTAAGCAGTGCCACCAAGTGGTGGTATTGAAGAACTTTAATCACTTGGAAATACATAATTAGGCCATTTTCTTTTCAACAGTTTTCCATCTAATTATCTTTGTAACAACAATCAATCTTCAATACCACCTTTACCACCTGCTTCATCAAATGTGGTTGGCCCTTCTGCCGTGGCTTCAACAAGTGCTCTAGTAGTTACCTCTCCTTCCAACCTCAGTGACCTTAAGGAGTGTACTGGCAACAGGAAAGCCAGGGTTCTCTATGATTATGATGCTGCAAACAGTAGTGAATTATCGCTTCTGGCAGATGAGGTAAGTAATGTGGGTATGAAAAGAAACATAAGATGAATTGACGTACCTTCTAGTATATAACAGTGAAAATTCCTCATTATTTGGAAGTGGCTTGTCATGAATGATTTCATAGATTTCAGATGGTTATATTAGCATTCTGTAAATTTTTAATTACTATTTAACATAATAGAACATCACAGAAATATTTAAAACTGCTTAATTTCTAAAAGATATATAAAACTGCCTCCTATAAAAGACTTTGTCTTTTAGCAAAATTGATACTGATATTTAACCCATTGATAGTGAATATCTTAAACAAATTAAATACAAATATGATTAGTTTTCTATGTGTTTGTTTTTTAATACAGTTAATAATGGGAAATATCTTATTTTGTAGGTGATTACTGTGTTCAGCGTCGTCGGAATGGATTCAGACTGGCTAATGGGGGAAAGGGGAAATCAGAAGGGCAAAGTGCCAATTACCTACTTAGAACTGCTCAATTAAATAGGTGGACTGTGGAAAGATGGCCCGTCATGACACCATATTTATATACAATTAACTCTAAGTAAAGCAAGTTTAAGTATCTTCCATGTTAATGTCTTAAGAGACTAAAAAGAAAATACCAGCCACAGAAACCAATCTTTCTGCCAATAAAGTTGCATGGTAAATATTTCATTACAAAGTTTATGTTAGAGCTTCATGCCAAGAATGTTTTCTTACAAAATTCTCTTTCTGCTGAGGTCTCACTAACAACTTCTACTTTGGAGCCCCAACTTAAAGCAGAAGAACTGTTTTCTACTGAATTTTTCATTAATGGCAAGCTTTTTCTTTTATGTAAATAAATTTATTATGAATTGATATCAGCGACTCATTTATTATGTATAATAGCCAAATAATAAAATTTGTTTTTAAATTTTTGGTTTAAAAACTCTAGGATCTATTGTCAAGAATACAATGCTTCTGAATGCTTCCAGAAAGAGAAACACAGTTATACCACGTTTACCTTGTTTTCCAACAGAAATTGAATGATTTCAATGCTATGTTTTGATAGGTTATTTTGGGGGGTTTTTTGTCTTTCTTTTTTTAAAAGCATTACCTAATGGCTTGTTTTAAATTTAAGAACAACTAGTCCTTGAAAAGCATTACCATTTTTATATATACTCTGGTATATTTGTAGTTAAGATTCTAAAACATCTGGGACAAATTTAATTCACTAAATCAGTGTTTTAAAGATTGCTCATTTGGCACAATTTAATGCATAATCAGAACTGGATCTGTTAAGAACATACTGCAGTACAGTAAAGAGGATTTGTTCTTATTAAACAACAAATCCCTATAAAATATATGAATTTAGTGCAACTGCATTCATTATAGAGTAAACTTACGTACAAACAGAGTAAACTTTTAGTTACTCTGAGCCTACTAATTTTTGAAAATTTATTAATGAACTTAGATTATCTTGGTTAGGTTCTCTGTTTATTAAACACATAATGATGAAATGATTAATGGTACTTATGGCAACAGAGAATTGCTGTGAATTGGCAGATTGTGTTCCTGTTAGGACTTCTCTCATTCATTCATTCATTCATTCAGCATTTGTTGAGAGCCCTCTCTATGCGAGACGCGATACTGATGCACTGGGGGTGCTAAACCTGAATAAGATGCACACAGTCCTTGCCCCTGCAGAGCTTAAAAACCAGTGGAGGATACAGAGAAAGAAACAGGCAGTTGTTATATATAGCATGATCGGTGTTACAATTCAAGAAATACAGAGTACTGTTCTGGGGAGCATATAGGAGAGTCACCTAACCGAGACTTGAGGGTTAGGGAAGTCAAGGGTGGTTTGGGCATGAATGTTCAAGGCAGAGGGAACAAGATGTGCCAGGCCTGGAGCCAACAGAGCATAGCACATTCTGTCAGCTAAAAGTTCAGTCTGACTTAAGCATGCAAGTGCAAAGGTGTAGTTCCTTTCTTTAGGGAATGCTAATGTATCTCTTTTTTTGGTATTTTAAAAAATGAATACTTAAACACCATTTTAAGATACCCTTTTGTGTTAAGAGCTTGGTGAACATGTTGATAGTTTATAACCCGACCTTGTTACGATTTTATTTCTATACTATGAAATTAAATTCTTCTGCATTTTTTCTCAGTGTAGTTGTGCAAGACCCTTAGACTCAGGCTGATAAGTTTCATACTCTTAAAGAATCCGAGAAATCTGCTCAAGCTGGTTAATATATAGATCCCAGTGAATAAAGCTTCCCCCTCCCCCCTAGAAAGGAAGTTCTACAGCCTTGAATACTATCTAAGTCCAGATTTAGGCTTTGAAAGATATCAAAAATTCAAGTCAATTTAAACACCAGTTATAAATTAGGTTTGTGGTAAGTAGAGTGGTAAAGGGGAAGGAATATAGGTAATGTAGTGAAATGGTCCTGGGTTCAAATCCAGTTTTCCTCACATACCTTCAGCTCAGAAGTCATGTAAAATGGGGATAATTATGCCACCTTGGGGTTGTGAAGACTGTAACAAATGTTACCTTGTATGTTAGGTACTTTTTAGGAAGGGCTTGGCACAGAGTAGACATTCTGTAAATATCAGTTTCCCCTTGTTACCCTCTGTAGCTTCCTGAGCTACCCAAACTGTGGACCTTGTTTACAACTGTATATGAGAAACCTCTTTTATATCTATGCTCTGTTCTACTTCCCATTAACCCCATTCTTCACCTTCTTTAAACAGACCCAGAGCTAGGTTTAACCTCAGCGCAGTCAGTATAAGTTCTTCATCAGATTCTTGCGCTTTCCATCAAGTAGATGTGGATTGTAGTAACCCAGTACTGTTCAGAAGCCTTCAATAACGTTAAAGAGTTCAAAGGCTCCTTGGGGTTGTTGACCCAAGTCCACCACAGTATGTGGGCGTGTTTTTCCGTTTACTGCTTTGTGTTTTAGTAGGTGTTAGTTGTTTGGGGTTTTTTTGTTTGTTTTGGTTTGGCTGATTTTTAAAGTCATAGGTTTAGTTTTTACTCAGGTAAAGGCCCATTAAGGCTCTTATTTGGGAAGCCTATTTATTCATAGTGTAATTCGGAATTATTTAAGCGGTGTCTCCTGAGTTTAAAGGTATAGTAACATGGGAAAGATGTACATATGAATGAAATAATAAACTTGAAAATAACTGTAGGCTCAAGGAGAAAAAAAGTGATTATATCTGCCTTTGTCCTCTAATGTGAAAGGCCTGGTGTTAAATCTTTCTTTTTTGGTGCTAATCAGAAAAATCCATATTGCAGGAGATTAGGTCCTGAAAATGGGAATGTGCCTCACTCTGGGTAATGGGAAATAAGAAACTTGAGGCTAGGGTCACCATTGGGTTAGAGCCAATCCTCATAGTCTGCCATTGTCTACCAGAACAGAGGAGCGGAATAAAGCTGGAGATAAACTATGGAGTGGAGAAGATGATAGAGGCAGGACGAGAAATAACTGAGACTTTACCCAGAGAGAACCAGGTTACCGCCCTGTTTTTTGATAGGATTCCTTAAAAATACCGGAACGTCCCATATGCCTGAAATTTTGAAATAACGTTGCCCTAGTATATAGCACTTCAAGCCTAGGTAGAGTCATAATGGACAGATGGCTTCGCAATTTGGTCTAAAGCCAGCTTTGCCACAACACCTCTAGATGAGTAAGTGGCTCTTACCTCATGGTTAGATTAAAAGGGGTGGGGTGAGAGGGACTACCTCAACCACACCTGCCCTTTCTGACCCATCCTAATTAGAGAGCCTGCCTAGTTAGAGCAATGGTTCTCAGTGTGGTCTCCAGACCATCAATATCAGTGTCACCTGGGAACTTGATAAAAACGCTAATTCCTATTTCCCAGGACTTTATTTGTACTTGTTTTTTGTCTTCAAGGGCCTATAGACCTAGTTCTTCTCTAATAGCTTTTCAGCTTTTTTAAGACAAAAATCATGTCTTTTCATCTTTACTGTGTCCTGCAACTAATCATGATTGTAGTTACATAATTATTTTTATAATTTATTTAGTATTTATCCACCACTCTAAAATGTAGTTTCCCTGAGGTGGGAACTATGGCTCTTGATCACAAATTTCAACTCTTAGCCCAAGGCCTAGCACATAGTATGTATTCAGTATTTGTTGAATGAAAGAAAAAATGCAAATTCCCAGGCCTTACCTGCGACCTACTGAATGAAAGTTTGGGGCTGGGCTCAGCAGTGCGCAGCTTGTTTTAATAAGCCTTGGAGGTGATTCTACTGCACTCTAAAGTTTGAGAACCTCTACAGTAGAACAATGGAAACCTGCCTTTCATCTTCAGGCCTATTTGACATAACTTGAAAAATTCTTCCTGCCTTTTGTAACCGTCACCAACAATGCTGCTCTCAAGTGTAAAGGAACCTTGCTTGGCAGTGTTACAAATGGGTATGAAGGTATACAGGATACACTTAGTGTAAGGGAAATACTGCTTAGAATTCCAGTACTTGGTTGCTATGGAGGGTTTCTAGAAATGGATCCCTTAAACTGAAGAAAGGTAAGCGCTGCCACCACCCACATTTCCACTCAGCACAGTGCCTTTTAACTGGTGACAATTTAACATCAAAGCACCCTGACAAAACCACGAAGCTGTTTCAGACTAACATGTGCATCCCTGTGTCTCTTAGGTTGTTAAGCTCAGTTCACTGCTACTTCAAAGGAGACTTTTTAAACACCATTAATACTTTTTTATAAAATGTCATAGACATGTTGGTTAAAAAAAAAAATCATAGTTTAAAAAAATCAAAATCACCTATAATCCCACCATCCAGGGAGAATTATTTAGGTGCATAGCTTTCCAGACTTCTTCTGTGCATATATAATTTTTTTGTTTACATGGGATCAAATTGTATATACTATTTTGTAACCTTTTTCACTCAACAATACCATGATTATGTCACCATGTCAAATATATTTCTAATATTTTTTAATGGCTACATGATATTCCATCATATGTGCCACATTTTATTAAACCGTTGAATTTTTAGGTTTCCAGTTTTTCACTAATAAACACTTTAAAGAACACTGTGTTGGTAAATATTTTAAATATTCTTAATTATTTCCTTAAGATGAATACTTTGAAGTGGAATTGCTACTGGAGAGGGTATGCCAGTTTTTAAAAGCTTTTGTTACTTACTGTCATGTTGTTCCCTAGAAAAGTTTTCTGAATTTACATTTTTATCAGCAGTATATAAAAGAATACCGTTTATTCTTGGAGGACTTCCAACTGAATGTTCTTGGAGTCTTCAGCTTAAAAGTAAAGAAAAAGAGGAAAATAAAAAGACCTTGCAAAATTAAAACAAAAATCAGTCTTAAATTATTCAGACATAACATCATTGACTGTTCTCCTTTGTGTCATATGTTAAGTGATACTTTGGGATGGTTTGTACTACCAGCTTGTCCCTTCTTTCCAATCTCCTGGAAGCACTATCACCTTTCTGACTTATGCTAAAATGGTAGGAAAACAATTTTATGTAGGTTGGAATCTCATGGTAGTTTTGATGCAGGCTTACCTTTGATGGTTTTAGGGAATGTGGCCATAGTGGGAAAAGTAGGGCCTTTGAACAGCAGGCAGAACTAAGTTAAACACTGGTTCTCCCACTTGGCTTCATGTCCTTGTGCCAATCATAAAACCTCCTTGAGCTTATTTTCTCATTTCTAAAATGAAGATACTATAAGCCTACCTTGTAAGGTTGAAAGGATTAGTACTATTATGAACAAAGTACCTGACAACTAGTAGGTGATGAGTATTAGTAAGATTTCAAGCTGAGTAGGTTAGTTGTTATTGCCAACTGCTGTGGACTAAATATCACTGTCATTGCCAAATATATGAAGGCAGTCACAGTAAATGGATGTTGACTTGCAACTTCACCTACAAATTCTAGTTCTTTTAGAATCTTGTCTCATTTTTCTGTAGCCAAGTGTTCAAGTAGCCTCCTATCCAGGTAAACTCTCAGACGAGGTGTTACTACCATGTTTTTGTGGCAGTGTATAAGGGTAGTAATCTTATTACTCTAAAATGGTGAAATGAACATGTCAGCCATGCTGAACTTCTGACTGAAACTATCCCTCTTGAGTAGGAAGTGGTCCCCAAACACACCATGTACTTTGAGCCTTCTTGTCTTTTGTATATAGATTGCTCAGCTCTACCTGTAGACCCTCTACTCAATTGTCTTGAGTAAGCTAAATGCTCCTTCCTCTATGAAGATATTCTGGATTCCCTCAGGCAGAATTAATCATACATATATCTAATTCAACTATGACATTTATTGAATTTTAATTACTTGCTAACCAAGCTGAGCTCATGGGCATGGACTTTGTGTCCCTTAACACCTAGCACACCTCAAGCTGACTTGCAGGAAACCCCATAGCTGCTTGCAGCATTCTAATTTCTACAAAATATCCATTAATGATTCAGATGTGATGCTATTATGTGTGCTTGCCCTAAGAAACATTGCCCCTTTTGGACATCAATATCATAGAAAATGCACATCTAATTTTCTTTGAGAGTAAACCCTAGGATCGATCCATCATCATTATTGCTTCCCATTGACTCTGCTTGAGCACTCATTTTACACAGTACTCATTACTGACTTGTATTTTGCAAAACACTGATTTATTAGGGAATGGATTTTTGCAGTTTGCATATATACGTCAGGTTAGATTTAGGATTACACCTCAGTTAAGTTAGGAAGGAGGTATTTCCATTGTTAAGCCTTTTTAAGTGAATGTACTCTGTAAAATGGATTAAGTTTCTTTCCTTCCTCCCCTCTTCTACTTCTTCCCCACCCTTCTTTTTTCCATTTCAGTATATATTTCCTCTCCCTTTTCAAAAAGGTTACAGATGATGGGGAAAATAATATACCACGTAACAGGAGAAAGAAAATGTACAAGGGAAAAAGAATAAAATGGTGGAAAATATAATAGATTCTGCTCAATTGCTATAGGTAAATGGCACACTTGGCTCTGAGACTTCTAGCAGTCAAAGAAAGAAGCATGATCAAACTTCAGATGAACCATTCACATATAGAAACATGCTGGTTGGTCAGAAGAAGGTCACTGATAAAGAAGCAGCACTCTTAAAGGTGACACTGAGGACAGCATCAAACACCAAAGCAGAGTTGACTTATAAGGCCAAAGCTCTTGCCCTGATTCGGGGATTAAATGTTACATGACTGCTGTATTGTTGTTTTCATCAACCTGCGGGTATAAATGAGCACAAAATGATTGACATTAACACCCTGAAGTAGAATGTCTCTGAGCCCTCACCTGTCAGATCGTCAGGAAGTATAGGCTTGCCCTCCTTCACGCATTTCACAATCTCCAGGGATACTGATATATGACCACAAATCAGTCGTCTTCCCCTTTCTGCTGGTGAAGAGGGAACTAAGGAGCCTCCCTTCCACCCCTCCATTGTCCCCTTCCAGAACAACTGTGGCCCTCCACCCCATCCCACACTCCCACTCCAATTGCCCGACAAACTTTCCATGGCTACCACCAGTGAGACTGGAGTTTAGCAGACCAGAAGTCGGTGAAATTGAAAGGTCACCAATGGCCTCTGAGTAGCATTCTACCTCTACACACAGGAGTACTTGGAGGAAGGGCCAAGATTTTTCTCAGAAAACAGTCGAGTCTGCTTTTCCATATGAAAAAATGGGATAATTGAAGACAATGTTTTATATCATAGAATTCATCCATGATCATTTTGACATGAGACTTTTCAAAGCATATGTTATCAATTGCATGATGTAGTTATAAAACAAATTTCAATCATGTACCCATAAAACAACTAAAATTATGGCATGTAACTTCCTGATGAATGCCTCAAGAAAAATGTGTTTCATAATGTAACCCTAGGAAACTAAGTGAATTTACCTTCTACATAGGATGTTTGGATATAAACCAATTACATGTTGCAGGAGATTAAAGTAACTGTGGTTTTGGAATAGTTTATAAGCCTTTTTTTTCTGAAAGCATTTAGATAGCAAGTCAGTATAAATTAAATTTGTGGTTATGTACCTTCCGGCAAATTATTCACTTACCCTCTTAGGCCCACAGAGTTCACATCTGTAAAATGAAAGGATTAAACCAAATGATCTCTAAGGTTCTTCTAGCTCTTCCATCCTAAAATGTTCTAAACAAGCCAAAGCTATTCATGTTTTAACAGTTACCAATGCTACACCCCAAATTATTAATTTGAATGTCATGCAGAAACTACCAGCAAGTATTCAGTGTGGTTATTTTCTTTATATTTTACAGTGCAAAGCTCTCCATTCTGAATTTTCTAGAAAAGGCTGAATGACATCTTGTGAGAGGTTTTTTTTTTTTTTTTTTTTAATTTTGTAGTCCCTCTCTACCTGTACTGACAGAGCATAACTGATCTAGACCTCAGAGGAAAGTACCCAGTTTGTGCTCAGGTTCCTGAGAGGTTCTAATGAGCAAACAGTGACAATTCATATACAATTGATATACATTATCTCCTTTATACCTGTCTGTAAGGTAGGTATCCTTGCCCCCATTTTACAGACAAGGAAATGGAATTTAACAAGCTGCACAGACAGAAGTGGCAGAGCTAGGTCTCATCCCTTGTCTTCCTAACTCCAAAACCCAAGCTTTTAATCAGCATGTAACACAGACACCAATATTTCTGTGTGTGTGGTAAAAATATATAGAACAAAATATTTGCCAACTCAACCATTTTTACATGTACAATCAGTGACATTGATTACTTTCATCATGTTGTACAAACATCACCACTGCCCTTTTCAAAATTATTCCACCACCATTAATAGAAACTCAGCAGAAGCCAATTTTTCATCTGTGCCACCAAATATAATCAATGGCCCATTTGCAACACTCCTTCTGGGCTAGTAATTTTTTTTGGAGCAAATAAATACTAAGTAGCTATAAATTACTGCTTAATCAACTGAAAAAAATCTACAAGGTCATTGAGCCAAGTGTGAATCTTGCAATCCCATTACCATCAGCTGAACATGTTGAGAAATCATCCTTGGTTTAAATTAGGAGTTCTCAAAGTGTGGTCCCCAGAGTCTCTGGAGGTAGGATCCACCAATCTTGTGTTTCAACAAGCCCTCCAAGTGATTTTTCTCCAAGTGTTTAAGAACCATTTGTTTAAATAAAGCAGAGACTAAAATTACCCTTTTGTCTCTCACTTTAAAGCTAACTCACCTGCAGAAACAATAAAAGAATAATAACAGGTAACAAAATATTACACCAAGCTATTAAATTAGGGTGAAATGTAATATGGTACCATCTTATTGACTCTATCAGTTAAATAGACCATTCACCAATGAGAAATTTGGTGAGCAGGTGAATATAATTTTGCTACGACCAGGGGAAAGAATCCATGGGTTGGAATAGTTTATTCTGAAATTCAGCCATAAGGGAATATACTCTATATATTTGTGTCTTATCAAGGTAACAAAATTATATAATCTTTATACTTTCTTTCTGGCCAGCATCTGAGTTTCCATTGAGGGGCCTGCATGTCCTATTTGGCAGGAAGAGGACACATAAAAAAAATAGGTGCCTTTCATTGGACAGTTAAAAGATGCCAGTCACCTACCTACCTGGGCACCTGAGCTGAATCCATACAGGAGGAGTGGGCAGACTCCTGAGCTCATATACCTAGTAACAGGTCTAACCACCTGGTGACAGGACATAGAGCTTCAAAGGTGCCAGTAATCAAACTAGCTCATACGAGCAACCTATTTCGGCTATATCAAAACCTATATCAAAACAAAACAAGAAGCTAGGACACGGTAATCAAACATAAAATAAATATAATAACTTATTGATGGCTCGGAGACAACAGTAAATATCAAATCACATAAAGAGGCAATCCATGATGGCTTCAGCAAGCTCCCAAAATAAAGAATCTAGAAATTTTCCAAAGGAGAAAAATTTCTTGGAATTACCAGAGGCAGAATACAAAAGATTAATATACAGAACTCTTCAAGAAATTAGGAAGGAAATTAATCAAAATGCAGAACACACAATAGAGGAAATTAAAAAGATTAGAGAAGAGCATAATGACAAATTTCACAGGCTGCAAGAATCCATAGAGAGACAGCAATCAGAAATCCAGAAGATTAACAATAAAATTTCAGAATAAGTCAATAGAAAGTCATAGGAGCAGAATTGAGGCAATGGAAATCAGAATCAGTGAGATTGAACATAAAATACTTGACACCAACTTATTTGAGGAAAAATCAGATAAAAGGATTTAAAAATATGAAGAAACCCTAAGAATTCAGTGGGACTCTTTCAAGAGGAATAACTTACGAGTGATTGGAGTACCAGAACAGGGGAGGATAACAGAAAATACAGAGAGAATTGTTGAAGATTTTTTGGCAGAAAACTTCCCTGATACGTGAAAGATCAGAAGATATGTACTCAAGATGCTCATCGAACCCCACATAAGGTAGATCCCAAAAGAAAGTCACCAAGACATATTATAATCAAACTTGCCAAAACCAAAGATGAAGAGAATTTTAAGAGCAGCTAGGGATAAATGAAAAGTCATCTACAAAGAAGAGTC